CCTGTGGACCAAAAAGCTCACCTGAGGTATACGTAAAATGAAGATACAGTGATGATATGTTGGTCTCATTAAGGACATACGCAACGTACCTTACCTTCTGATAATTTTTCAAGATATTCTTAATTTAAGATTATAGTGCCATCAGATGTTCGTAGACAAAAAATCAGCATGCATTACCAGAGGTTTTGAAAAGATATCAATTGATGAAAATTCTTCTAAAATTTAAAGAAAAATATACAAAAATTACTAAACATATATTCTAGATGTTTTGTTTGTCAAAACTTGGTTTAGAAGAAGTGTACAACAGCATAATAGACATTAAAATGTAGCACACAGTTCCTTTAAGTATTGGAACTCTTCAATTCCAGGGAAAAAGACAATAAAGTTTAAACTACGTTGCGTACGTCCTTAAATCTTTCGAATAAAATATTTGTCTTTAATGATAAACAGACAACATTAATCGACTTCAATCTACACTATGTGGAAATGCTTCCATTTTGATTTGACAAATGCATCATTGTTCTTAAGAAGATTTTTATATATATATATATATATATATATATATATATATATATATATATATATATATATATATATATATATATATATATATATATATATATATATATATTAAGAGAGAGAGAGAGAGAATTATTTATATCTAACTATCTAGTTATTCACTAATTAACAATTATCAATTGCCAATGAGTACAAGACTAATTAAGCGATATTTCTCATTCTGTTCCTTTCTTGGCCTAAGGCGCTTCCTACTGACTTGCAGTTGTAATTAATCATGGATTCATCGGCAATTGGATTTTTTTATCATGGACTCATCGGCAATTGAATTTTTTTAGTTAGTGAAAGACATATCTGTTAATCAAGTTGCATTTGAGTGTATATATTTTTAAACCAGTGATTTTAACTGAGTACAAATATGTAATTTTCGGACATATAGCAAAAGTATCTTACAATCTGAATAAGAGGAATTGTGTGATGTTTTAGATACTTTTGGTACATTTTCATTCAAACCGAAAGAAAAATTAATTACCTGTTGTACGAGGGTTGTTCGGAAAGTTCGCGGACTACCGTCATAACTTTTTTACTTAACGTCATATCATATCCAAATTTGGCAGATATGTTTCAACAATAAATTCGAATGACGTGTATAATTTTTTTAATTTATTTCAAACCTATTCAAAGTTTAAAAATGCGAAATCGCGGAGCAGGTCAAAATATAGTAATTTACAATCAATACACTAAATAATGTCTGCTGTCATATCCTCTGTAAAATGGCGCAAAAACGAAAAAATCCCAGACGTTCAAATTAAGAATTGTTACATCGTTTCATATTCCACAATATGACTTAATATTTTGCTTCGTTGAAAAGAGATCAATTTCAGAAGATAGGCAGTCCTCATTGAAAAAGGGGGAAAAAAAAAGATGACGTCGTAGAACGTCACGGAGCAGTAGTTAATGAAACATTTTTGTGTTGTTGTCTGGAAAGCTATTAAAAAAACTCTGAAAATGCTGGAAACTCCAGAAAAACTCTGAAAATGCTGGATGAAGCTGGAAATACATCAAAAATGAGCCATGCATGTGTGCGTACGTAACACAGGCGGTATTTGATTGATAGAGACTCTGTATCAGACGAGAAAACGGAAAATTTGATCAAAAACTTTAAAATATTTATTTAGTAAGGTCATGGTAAGAGTTAAGGCGCTTCACAGTTGCTGATCTTGTGAAAGCAAAGTTACGCAGTAAAAAAGAAATATAATATTGACAAAACTATGCTCCTGGATCAATTGTTAGCAAAATACATTTCAGGTGACAGAGAAACGTTTTTGATGAGTGCACTATTATTTGGCCATACAATGTGAAATGTCCAGTCCAAACAATGCAATCTTTGGTCGAGGTGCTCTCTAACCAAAATTCCTTTTCTTCAAATGTTCTTGCTGAATTTTTGAGGACTCATTAAGTGTGTTTGGCATATACATGTACATGTCCATTTTTATCATTTTTTGAGAAACTCATGACTCTATGTTTTTGACGTTACAATGTTGTTGAGTTTGCTCCGTGGTTACAAAACATGTTGATTTACAGTTTTCATGTCCACACGCTAAGGCAAGACTTGCAATATTATAAACAACATTTTCATATATTCCACGTTTTTTCAGCCTTCAACAGTGCATTCATTCGTTAAAATAGAAGACGATATTACTATATTAATAATTTTACTAACCAATGCATTCTCACTTCTTAAAAGAGGAAGAGGTTAAACAGATGTATTTTTGGATACATTCATTAACTTTTTTGTGAATACGTTTTGTGTTTACTTCAATTTACCCACCTGTGTGGTTTGATAAAAATAGATTGACACCTAAGTGAAGGGTTTTCATTGGCTGAGAAGAAAAGGTCAGCTAAGTCTTGTATTAAGAAAAAGAGCAGTGCTCTATTTGTAGGTCAGACTTGTAAGGCTCGAAAAAACGTGTATTAAGTGAGTACACACGGTAAGGCAAGAACTTAAGTTCCATGACTTATAAGGCAAGCCTTACCGTGTGTACCGGCCCTAACAGTTGATCGTATACATGACATGCTCTAGCGTACCGAATAAGTTAGAGACTTACACACCATATGCAGGTGATTGTAGAAATTTAGTACATGAATACATGTAAGAAGTGGCCGATTCGGAAGTCATCTCTTTTTTAATAGTTTATTGTTAGTTGGCAATAAACGTTTATAATTAGTAAAATATCAAAATATGAAACAAATGAAAGAGAAAGATTAAGATAACAATTTTAACCAATAGGCACTGAGACGTACCTATTGTGCGATTTTTATTGTGTGCTAAAAACTCAATAGGTGAAATATTTTATGTGAAGATAACGACCACTAATCAAGCTCAAATGTCCATCGGAACATTACAATGGAGAAGAGAAAACACGGACCTTTAAAAAATCATCAGAGGTGGGATCAGGTGTTAAAGAGGAGTAAGCATCATCTGTCGACTGGTCACACCTGCTGTTTCTCATTGGAATGATCGGGCAAATGGAAAATCCGTATACAATTCAGTGTGAAAATAATGGCCTAACAATTAATATGAAAAACGTCAGTCAACATTCGACTTACCGATAGATTGTACATGCTAACAAGGTCATTGTATCGACCATTAAATTTGCGAATTGTTGACAAAACGAGACTGTTTATATCCTTGTATTATCAACTTATTTGTCAATAGCTTGCCTCATTTAAGAAATTTTTCGTAAGTAGAACATGCTCTCACGTATCGAATCAACTGGGAGACATAAAACAAATATGCAGGTGATAATGGTATATTGCTACATTAATAAGGGGAGTGGACGATAGAAAAGTTGAAGTCTTCAAGTTTATCATATTTTTTTTTTAGTTTGCAATTAGTGTCTTTCTCTGGTAAAATATCCAAAAGGTATAATAGATCTAAACACATGTAATGCTATTTACATTTTAATTGCTTGTTCTTCCAGTGTTCGTCAGAAAAAACGCAAGAGAATTGAACGTTGAGAACCAAATCTTGTCATCAAGCACTTTTTATAAAGTTTGTATCATCCTGTTGGAATGGGGGTCATTTTTCAACGGGGGTAAATTTTATAGGTTTTACATGTAGAAATTTGACCCCTAGGTTTTTTTCTACAAAAATTACATTTTTTCTACGGCTGGGAGGTCATTTTTCAACGTTGAAAAATGACTCCCGGTCATTTTCTAAGGGGGTCTTTCTTCGTCTTTACACGACAGAGTAACTAACTAGAATAACAGCGCTCACCTGTATTTATAGTCTTACCCAAAGACGCTGAGTCATCGTCTTTGTCTTGGTAACTACAACGCTTGATGTACCGTAGCTATAACAATAGGAAGCATCTGATTGATACCTAATTCGCATATTATTAATTTAATCAATGGAATTTCGACTACATTATCTAATTATAAAATCAATATAATTATGATATCTTATTTTACGAAATTGTGCTGTTTTTATTTTTGTCACAATTTCGATTCGAAGTCACGTCTTATTTGTCAAAACAATGCTGTCAAATGCTCTGAAAGTTATCAATTTATTTAAAGGACCTTTGTCATAATTCCAAAAATTTAATACAAGTATATAAATGCTGACGTAATGACTTTAATGAAATTATTCACCGCTTGCATTATTTTTGCATAATTGAAGAGTAGACAATTAAAAGTGTTTAATTTTGACTTCTCCAGTTAGCCAGATAGTACTCACAGTTCACTAAACAGAGAACTCTAGAGAACTGTAGCTTATAGAGAACTGTAGAGAACCATAGAGAACTCTAATTGATGAATCCAGAAAAATATTATGCAAAATTGAGTTTAATGTTGATCCCTTTTTAGATCATATTTTATTAACAAAACTAATAGCAATGTTGTTTTATGTGTATATCCCATGAAAACATCCGAAAAACTTTTAAAACAAAACTACGAAATATTTATGTCATTTCGATTCCGATTGAATTTCGATAAGATTATTTTTATTGAAATAATAGTTTTATTGACAATGACTTTATTTTACTTGTTAGTTTTAATTATTTTACTTCTCTTAAATATTTAAACTATGTTGGTTGCAGAACTTGTAATACTGGGCAATGGGGTGTAGATAACACCCTTTCCTATGAATATACGTTTGTTAAAGCATTAATTCTTTAACTAATAATTTCAATATTGTAAAGATTTCTACTAAGTTTTGTATATTACAGAAATACTTTTAAAGTGATGCTTATGTGATATATTACTCTACACTTGTAGAACGCAGCATTTCGCCATTTTTTTTAGTATCTTATCTAGCTAATACAATAATTCTACGAGCCAAAATGTATTACAATAGATAGATAACAAAATAATTCGATGTCGAGGTTCTACTGCAAGCCCCCTTTCTGCTTGGAGCTGTAAATTTGATATATTCTCAACAGAATTCCCTTTCATGCTGTTTTTGAATTTCTTTTGATTGACAGATATGATCGCCATTCCTGACTTTGGAGCAGGTGCTATGGAGAACTGGGGGTTAATTACTTACAGAACACAGTACATGTTATACGACCCTAACGTCACTACGGCTGGTACTCAAAGATTTGTCGCTGTCATTGTGGCACACGAATTAGCACATATGGTAAAAAAATCTTTTAGTTAGTACTCCATTCATATATGTGAATATTGCAACATAAGAAAATTCAATATTTTCAAGGGGTCTGTACATAATTTTAAGGTACAAAATTGCAGTCGTCGACTTACTATCAAAAATGTTGACGGTTCAATAAAAAAGATCATTTCTTTGATAAAATTTTATATTCATCCGTTGATAGAGCTAATGAAATGTAATGGCAAGTACTGACCGTCAAATTCAAAATAATATTACCTGGAAATTAAAATTTCAGAGTTAACCCTAACATTCTCTACAAATGTACGACGGGAAATTTCAGCGATGCGTTAATAATTCTGGCATTTTATAGCGATTGTTTTTTTTAGGTAACGCTAAAATTAGATGGCGCTAATATTCAATGTCAATTATTGTTCTAGAAAATCGCTAAAAAATTAATTTCGCTTATAATGAATGCCAAATTTTAAGATAAAATCGCTTAAGAACCCTCTCTACACCATTGCAAAATGTTTTTTGGACATCGAAAAAATTATTTTGAATAAATAATAATCTATATTATCTATCTATATCTTATCTATATTTAATTTTTAATATATGGTACGTGGCATTTACCCCCGGGAAAAATGTTCAAACACAACACAGTATCGGTGAATAGAAATCATAGTTGTTTACTTCCATGAAGAAAATGCATGTAAATAACGGTTTGTTCCCGTTTTGCACACATTTGAATTTCAGGCATTGAAAAAATGTGTGCAAAACGGGAATTTGTCCAGGTAAGATAATTACTTAATTGCTATAGTCTATATCACAGTTGTAAATTTAGAGAAAGAGATTCTACGGAAAGAATAGGGAGAAAAATGCCAATTTTGCACTTGATATTTTGACTTAATCCTTGAAAAAATCATTTTAAAACATAAAAAATGACACAAAACTATAATTATATTCACATAATACTAACTAGACAGGTTAATTTAAGATTGAATTGATTTACTTAATCATTTTATCTTTATGAAATAAAGAAACATGGTGAAAATGTGCGATAGGCATATTTGTCTAAACTACCAACTTTATCTTCGGTTCAATAAGTAAAATTCTCATAATGTATTCCCTTAACAATTTATTATAATGCATTGGTAAAATACAGGTTATTCCAGGTAAATCCCAGACGAAGATCAGACTATAATTGCTATCAAAACATATTTCACACCTATTGTTCTATACCTAATTATCAAATGTGTGCAAAACGGGAACACACCGTAAATAACGTGTTTAATTACTTGGCCTTTAAAAATGTTAAGAATACTTGAATTGATTACAAATTGCCAATAAGTAATATACTGTAAATTTCTATTTATTGGAATTTAGAGATCACTCTAACTGCAGAAAAATACCATAGAATCAGAACTCTTTAGTGTGCAGTGTAGAGAGGGTTCTTAATTTGCCGGTCGCTAAAATAATCTGTTATATATGGAACGCCAAATTAAGATATATTCAAATATTTGAACCTATCTTGAATGAATTATACCTATCTTCAAATCAATTGTATCTATCTTCAAATCAATTGTACCTATCTCCAAATGAATTGAAGATAGGTTTGATTCAATTATACCTATCTTTAATTCATTTGAAGATAGATACAATTGATTTGAAGATAGGTACAATTGATTTGAAGATAGGTGCAAATGCCATGAATTAAAGATAGGTATAATTGATTTAAAGATAGGTGCAATTGAATTGAACCTATCTTTAACTATAAAGATACTGACAATAACAACTACTCCCCATAAAAATGCACTGTGCAGTTCCCTCCATGTTCAAGTCGCTGTTAGAGGGAGCTTTCATTATTTTCAATAATACAAAACGAATTGAACCTAGGTATAATTGAATTGTACCTATCTTCAAATCGTTTGTGGATATGTTACAATTGTACCTATCTTCAAATCAATTGTACCTATCTTTACATCAATTGTACTTATCTTCAAATGAATTGAAGATAGGTATAATTCAATTGAACCTATCTTTAATTGAATTGAAGATAGGTGTAATTCCATTAAAGATAGGTGTAATTTATTTGAACCTAGGTTTAATTATTTAGAGAGGGGTATGATTATTTACACCTATCTTTAATTCAGTTGTACCTATCTTTAATTCAGTTGTACCTATCTTCAATTCATTTGGAGATAGGTTCAATTATTTGAAGATAGGTACAATTATTTGAAGATAGGTACAATTATTTGAAGATAGGTTCAAATATTGGAATATATGTTAATTTGGCGTTCCATAGTTATATGGGTTAAAGGGTTGTCCTTAAGAATTGAAATAACAGGGGACATTAAAAAGAAGAAAGCCTTAGGGGTCTTGGGTTCCTCCCCTAACAGAGGATTGAGGGGGAGTAGCAGATTAAACGGGGGATAATGTCATTATAGGCGGAGAAATTCCCCGGCCCCCGGGTCTTAGGGACAACCCTGGGGTTATGACATTTCTGTATTAATAATGATGTAAATGGTAATAAAACATCATTTTCCTTTCATCATGATTTAATTTACACTTTGATAGAAAAATATATGATTATTTGTATGAATTTAACATTGTTTTTTTTTCTTCAGTGGTTTGGAAATCTGATTTCGCCTCAGTGGTGGGATGACCTCTGGCTAAATGAAGGGTTCGCATCCTTCTTCGAGTATATTGGAGTCAACTTCACCAGGCCGGAGTGGAATATTGTGAGATACTTTATATTGTGCACTGTGAATAACGAAAAATAGGCTAAAAATAGGCATGGATACTTAACTGGAGAGAAATTTTACTCGAACTGAATTCAAATTAATATTAATTTATTTATTTCAACTCGTTCAAAATTTTGCGCATACTTAGGTTATGCACTACTCTGCGCAATCAAGAATGAATAAATGCTTTTAGTGCCCCCTTTTCATACACATGTACATAATTTATATTATGGTTATGATAGTAATTAACGCACAATCAAATGGCTTAAACGTTATAATTGTAACTTGCTTTTAAAATAAGTAGTTGCACAATACTATGCAACAAGGGGGAAAAAAAGAGAGAAGTACAGTTATCTAAGACATTGTGAAAATCAACTTGTAGATGGACGCCTTTGCGATAGAAAACATGCACCCTGCCTTTGGAGTGGACAGTTACCCCTCGTCACGACCCATATTTGCCACCAATGTGAATAGCCCTGATGACATAGACCGACTGTTTGATACCATTACATACCAAAAGGTTTGTTCAAGTTCAAGCTCAAGTTCAGGCAAAATACTAATTATCCGGGGGTGTGTGTTAATTTTCGTTGTATTCGACGTGTGATGAGACCCTATGAATTCATATCCTCAATTTAAAATACATAGTGACTTGTAACTCCTTCAACCACGAAATTAAAAAAAAAAACCACGGATCAATTCTTTTTTCTCAAACCACAAAAATGATCCTATGAAAATATTCCATTTTACAGTATCATATAAATAAGCAATATCATGAAAAAAAAAACTTTCATGAAAATTCAATATTGTTTGTCCTCAGTTATTGACAGTTACATGAAAACATTGTCTGTCTGTGTACTAAATACATGTATCTTACATATATGCTTTATTTTGTAGGGAGCCTCCGTTATAAGAATGATGTGGAATTTTCTTGGACCCGAGACCTTACGTAAAGGATTATCTGTAGGAATTATTGATTTAGAATTTCAGTTGATCTGCCTTGAAAAAGACTTAATTGATACTAATTAAGTTTAAAATATTTCTATAATCCCATTAATACATGTAAAATGATTTTAAATATTTTTAGCTAAAAAAGAATTTCTATCCTTTTTTATTCTTATAAATTTTTTTGGATTATTTTCATAAATGCATGATTGCCTAAACTTCGTTCTATCATTGGGAATTTATGAGCCCACTCTGTCGATATAGCTGGTGAGGCAGTATTTAATATACCAGTGTGTTTAATATTATGAATATACATATACCGAGAAGTTTATTTTTAGACATACATCAAAAGAAAGGAATACGGAAATGTTAGACATCAGGAATTATGGCAAGCCCTGAAAGAGGTAATTATGGATATTTTTGAGTTTGGAAGCCATGAATTAATTGAGCATCTAGATTTTAGTTTGTTTGTTTTCTTTAATTTTAATAATCTTGCGTATCACAATATTATACCTCTGACCTTCATGATTATTAAATTATGGTCAACAATATTTTTAAATCTGAACCCATTCAAACCAAGAGATCAAGAGTAACATGTAAGATAAGGTCGGATTTTGACAGAAAAGCAAACAACCATCTCTCCTTGTGTTGGGAGAAAAAGTTTCAATGTCTGATATATTTGGTGACATATTTCTGCCCTTCCTCTACATGCAAGATAAATTATTTCAACATGCGAGAAAAGGATGTCAACATGCAAGATAATTATGTCTACATGCAAAATAATTATGTTGACATGCAAGTGATTTTAATGATTATGCAAGATGCAATATAACTATGTTGACATGCGACTTATTTATGTCCCATGTGGACATAATTATCTCGCACGTTGATATATAAAGTCGCACGTCTATATAATTATCTTGCATGTTGAGATAAATAAGTCGCATTTTTACATAATTATCTCGCATATGTTGATATAAATAAGTAGCAAGTCAACATGATTATGTTGCATCTTGGACGTATGATGTCACATACTGGCGTAGGTAAGTAAATTAACCAATGTTAAAATCAGATTGGTAACATGCATATCAACGCAATTCTTTTGTATGTAGACAGTATTATCTTTCATGGTGACATACTTGTCTTGCATGTTAACATAACTAATCTTGCATGTCGGGGGCAGAATATGGCATGTCAGACGTTGCAATATTTGATCTTCTCCATTTGTATTGTATAATTTTCCATATATATATTCTATAATTTTTCATATGGATTGTATAACACTTATTTGTATGTTTTCCATTTGTATCATAAAAAATCATTTGTATTGTATAATTTTTTTATTTGTATTCTATATTTTCCATTTTCATTGTATAAATTCTTATTTGTATTGTATAATTTCTTATTTATATGAGATAATTTTTCACTTGTATTGTATCCGAGGATTGTATATTTATTTCGTTACAAAGGATTTCTTTGGTCAAATTTTAGTCTGCAGAGCGAGATGTTTCAGGTGCCCAACACAAACTTAAAATGTAGTCTGGTACCCTCCCACAATTCCGTTCGCGCACTCTCTGTATACAAGCACAAATTGGGCTCCTCTATTTGCGTGCATGCTAAGGGACAACCATTTGATTCTCCCCGGGAGAGGGGGGGGGGCAAATTTTGTTGAAACCGATTATTTATTTTCATTCTCTCGCAGGAGAATGCTTAATTCCAGAATGACCAGAGAGAAAAAGAATAAGGAAAAGAAGAAAAACCCAAACCCGAAAACTCAGTTTCTTGGGGGGGGGGGGTAGGTACCACCACTCAAGGACAAATTATTTATTCTCTCAGTCAACATTTCCAAGGACAGATTATTTATTTGCCAACTGCCAGTGCTCCCTTTCCAGAATCAAATGACCTTCCTCTAATTTCACGCAAATACATATGAGCCCAGTTTGCTTTGAGCACCCGGAGCATCTCGCTCGTTTTCAATACGATACAGACTAAAACTTGACCAATGAAATCCTTCGTAAGGAAACAAATAAACAAGCCTCGGATACAATATCGCATATAAATAAGAATTTAACAATACAAAAAAGAAATTATACAATGCAAATGGAAAATTATACAATACAAATGAAAAATAATAGAATACAAATAAAAATTACTGTAAATTCCTTATTTTACGCGAGTACTTAATATCGCGAAGTGGCCCAAGGGCGTCAAACCGCGAGAACAATAATTCGCGAATGGGTGATTTATCTAGAGATTTTACATACATTAAAGCACCATAAAAATAAAAGCGAGTAATTCTATTTCGCGACTGGTGCTTCTCGCGTAATTACGCTAATCTACAGTATACAATACTAATGAAAAATTATACAATACAAATAGAAAATTATACAATACAAATAGAAAATTATACAAGACAATAACAATTATACAATACAAATGAAAAATTATACAAAGCAAATAGAAAATTATACAATACAAATAAAAATTTTACAATACAAATGGAAAATTATACAATGCAAATGGAATAGATCGAATATTGCAACGTTTGACATGCCATAGCAGAAGGCCACCATGCCGATAAAATCTTACAGAAGTAATATTCTTATTTTTCAGCAAGCAAGTTTGGAAAGTAAATCCATTGACGTACAAGACATAATGGATACCTGGATCCTACAACAGAATTATCCTGTGGTCAAAGTCACTTTTAACAACAATCAGATCCGGGCTGAACAGTCGCGTTACGTCATCGGTAACGCTTCAGATGGGGCACCCTCGCCATACAAGTTTGTGCCTTTTTCTCCTTTTTAGCTCACCTGAGCTGAAAGCTCAAGTGAGCTTTTCTGATCACATTTTGAGTAGCGTCCGTCTGTCTGTCCGTCTGTCTGTAAACTTTTCACATTTTCGACTTCTTCTCAAGAACCACTGGGCCAATTTCAAGCAAACTTGCCACAAAGTATCCTTTGGTAAAGGGGATTCAAGTTTGTTCAAATGAAGGGCCACTCCCTCTTTCAAAGGGAGATAATTAGGAATTAATGAAAAAATAATGGCATCATTTAAAAATCTTCTTCTCAAGAACCATAGGGCCATGATGAGTCATATTTATATGGAAGCATCCTCAGGTAATGTAAATTCAAATTTGTTCAAATCATGACCCCCGGGGGTAGGGTGGGGCCGCAATGGGGGATCAAAATAATTTTACATAGAAATATATAGGAAAAATCTTTAAAAATCTTCTTCTCAAGAACAGCAAAGCCATGAGGAGTCATATTTATATGGAAGCATCCTCAGGTAGTGTAAATTCAAGTTTGTTCAAACCATGACCCCCAGGGGGGTAGGGCGGGGCCACAATGGAGGATCAAAGTTTTACATAGAAATATATAGGAAAAATCTTTAAAAATCTTCTTCTCAAGAACAGCAAAGCCATGAGGAGTCATATTTATATGGAAGCATCCTCAGGTAGTGTAAATTCAAGTTTGTTCAAACCATGACCCCCAGGGGGGTAGGGCGGGGCCACAATGGAGGATCAAAGTTTAACATAGAAATATATAGGTAAAATCTTTAAAAATCTTCTTCTCAAGAACAACAAAGTCATGATGAGTCATATTTATATGGAAGCATTCTCAGGTAGTGTAGATTCAAGTTTGTTAAAATCATGACCCCCAGGGGTAGGGCGGGGCCACAATGGAGGATCAAAGTTTTACATAGAAATATATAGGAAAAATCTTTTTCTCAGGAACAGCAAAGCCCAGATTGTTCATATTTATATGGGAGCATCCACAGGTAGTGTAGATTTAAATTTATTTAAATTATGACCCCCGGGGGTAGGGTGGGGCCACAATGGAGGATCAAAGTTTTACATAGAAATGTATAGGAAAAATCTTTAAAAATCTTTTTCTCAGGAACAGCAAAGCCCTGATTGATCATATTTATGTGGAAGCATCCTCAGGTAGTGTAGATTGTATTTTGTTCAAATCATGACCCCATGGGTAGGATGGGGCCACAATGGAGGATCAAAGTCTTAAATAGAAATATATAGGAAAATATCTTCTGAAGAAGAACTGCAAACCATGATTAGTTTTCGATATGGAAGCATCCTCAGGTAGTGTAAATTCAATTTTGTTCAAATGATGACCCCGAGGGGTTGGGTGGGGCCCATTGGGGGATCGAAAGTTTTACATAAGAACATATAGAAAAATATGTCTTCTCAAGATCAGGAAAGCTATGTTTAGTCATATTGAAAAGGAAGCATCCTCAGGCAGTGTAGATTCAAGTTCAAATGACGACCCCTGGGATAGGGAGGAGCCACAATGGGGAATCAAATTTTTACGAAGGAATATATAGGAAAATTTTTTAAAAATCTTCTCAAGTACAACAAAGCCATTTGTTATATTGACATGGAAGCATCATCAGGTAATTCCCTAGCAAAATTCAAGTCCCCCCCCCCCCCCCGGGTAGTCTTTTCAATACTGAACTGATTTGTGCTTTTGCCTAGCCAATGTGCTCAGGTGAGCGATGTGGCCCATGGGCCTCTTGTTTTTAAAAAAATTGTGCGAAGTTATATTACAGAAGGACTTAATTGAAATTTTAACTTGTTTCTATTGTTGAGTTGCTATTTTTACCCGGTGTCAGGTAAGAAATTTATTTTTCTGAGATAAATTCCCAAATCAGAAATTAGAAATTAACAAAACTGTGATTATCGATAGAAATAATGCCTTTTCATTCCGTCTTGTATCTTTAATTTCATTTATTTCCTGGTATATTATGACATTATCAAGTCTGCTCTAACCAATGAGTGACTGAAATTTTCGAAGAAACAAACTTCCCCGCAAATAAAGCATCAACGCTGTAATGTACTCAATACATACATGTATGTATGGGTTTTTTTCTGCAGTTTCAGATGGACTATTCCCTTCACATTCACATCGAGCAGTAATATTTTATATGAAGACAACGATATTCACTGGATTTACCGAAATCAGAGTGGTAAGTAGAAACCACTGTGTTAGCCACTAATGACGTCATTTATGGATGGCTTTGTCATTCATTAATAACGATGTTTTTTTTTTTAATGAAATGAAATGAGTGAAATCTATCATCTATGCATTAATATTATGAAATCATTTAGTGAACTTTGTGTCATAAGGGGGCACGTTACTACAGCATGAAGAAAATTTTCTTTTGTCTAATTTCTTTATTTCCCTCGCTATTGACAATCAACGCGGTCCTGAAATTTTCTTGCAAGGCGACACCGTGACAGTGTATTACATGTAATCCTTTCCACAATACACCGTCGCGGTTTTATTTTTGGCTGCATTCCATTACCGAAAATATTGAAAACTGGTCGGTTATCATAACTGAACTTTTCTTTCCTTTCCGAAAGAATATTAGATATCATTACCAAAAGAAAGCGTATCACCCGAAGTTCAGAGCCAAGTTCATCGAAAAATCATTCTGTTATTTGGACACAATCGTCAACAGATATGAACAATAAATATATATCAGGGAACATGTATGACCAATAGACTATGCAGCTTTGGTACGCAGATAGAGCTGAGGTTGAAAATTTTGGCTACTGCATCCAGAAGTATGATTATGTGTATGGAGGCATGTCACTCCTGCATTGTATTTCGAATTTTGACAAGAGTACTCTGTAGTAACTGATTTGTGAATTCTCATGTTGACGTTTGAGCATATTGATCCAGTGTTTAAAAAAATGCGCAACTCGGGTTTTTTTTCTATGTATAAGCAGCCGCATGCAAATAGGGTTTGGACATTTTCTGAAGCTCTTTAATGTTAGTTTTCTAAATCTTCTTTTTTCATTTGCATCTTAAAGCAATAAATTTTGTTCCCCTTATTATAAGGAACTTGATAGATTAAGCTGTAAACAGCTCACTTTATTTTTTTTAATTTTCCTACACAATAATTACTGTAAATGGATGAAATGAAAACGTCAACTGATTGGTTGTAATATTCAAAACTGCAAACCTTGAGTTACCCGACACAATATTCACTTATTTTGGTGAACAAGGGAAACTGAAACTCTGTTTTTCAGCTGCAAGTTTTGACTGGACTAACACAATTAACACTGCTAATGGTGATTGGGTGCTTGCAAACGTACAACAATATGGCTACTATCGTGTAAACTATGATGAAAGCAACTGGAGGGCTTTGATAAGACAGTTAAATAATAACTATACGGTGGGTATCATCTGTTTAATAGTAATACAGTGTGCATAGCCAAATGTAAATCGATTTAATGCATTTTAACTACCCCCAAAATATCTAAAACTTTTATATGGAATTATAGAATGCTTAGTCTAATTCACTTTTTATTTATATGATTAGAGAATACATCCTAGCAACAGAGCGCAGATCATCACAGACCTTATGGCTCTTGTCAGGTAAAACATGGCCCAAATAAAGCATCATATCAAATAAGAAAAGAACTGATAACTTACAATTAGTATTTGTAAAACTGCATCAATCAAATAGTGGAACTCAGAAATGTTCTTATATTGTGAGCTGTTCTCTACAAAATAACTTCGTAAAAAATCATTCTGAATATGAAACTGATATTATAAAGATGCGGGATTTCCTCATAGACAAAATCTGTATAGTTTTTGGAGACCAGACCTTTCAGCAATCTGTTGGAATTTTGATGTGCACTGATTGGGATTCTTTATTAGCTAATCTGTCCTTTTATTCTTATGAATTATTCTCAGACTTCTACATGAGAAGACGATAAACTCTTCACGTGGCCTTCGATTCGACATTTAGATACTGGTATATCGACGACGACTAAATATCAATTAATAATCGTCACATTCAATTATATGTCGACTAAATATATCCCAATGAACGTCAAACAAAAGACACTATAGAGTCTGTCACAAGTTTCTCATATTTGAATATTTTACTAGCAACTAATCCATATGGTCAATGGGACGATTTTCAGTTTTCCATCGTCAACTTCTCATATTTTTGAAGCAATAGAATTTTATCAGCTAAATGGTGTCTGATTCAGTCGCAAAAGCTTGTTCGAAGAACAATCAATTTTTAAACTGAGGCAGATTGCTGAGAAATAAGATGATGTTTCAGGGCTTTCTTATTTAAAGTCAGCATTTCGCAATATTCTGTGGTCGTTAAATGACCTTGTTTTTCTTGGGTTGTATTGTTTATAGGATTTATGATATTGATCACAATTTTAAAAAAGTTTTTTATTACCCCCGCTTGAAAAGCGGGGGGGGGGGGTATATAATGATGGGAGTGTCCGTTCGTCCGTCCATCCATCCTTAGGGGTACAAATCTCTTATCAGCAACATCTCCTTTATAATAAAATTTTAGTTCAAAGAACCTTTATTACAGAGTGCCATTGTGCACCTCCTATTTTACATTTTGATCGGACACATATTTTGGGTTTCTCATAGCAAAACATCGACCTTGCAGTTCTTTCTATAATACTGGAGAGGGACATATATTTCGGGTTTCGCATAGCAAAACATGAACTTTGCAAATATACTCAAATGGGAGCGGGGGGGGGGGGGGGATATTATTCTGTGGTCTCATTGCTCTTACCTCTAGTTTATATTACAAGTATTATATCGGATAAAAGCAAACGTCTGGGTGAAATAATTTTGTTGTTGTCCCTTTTTCTTCCCTAAATTAATATGATGAATTAAATCAAATCCTAAAAATTTAAATGACATATAATCATTTTTCGCAACACAATTATTAGTACGTTAATGTTACTAATATGGATGGAATATGGAGATAACGAACAGTAATCAGGCTCAAAAGTCCATTGAAACAATTCAAATCGGGAGCAGACCAAATACGGACATCTAAAATCATCAGTGGGATCAGGTGCCATGAAGGAGTAGGCATCCCCTGTCGACCTGTCACAACCGCCGTGTGCTCATTGTCATGATCATTTGTTTGTTTTTATTTTAATGTAATGTAATGTTTTGATATATTATTTTAATTTCTTACAGTTTGGATGCACTGAACATAACTTTGGCTCTGAGTTCCCTAGATTACCTAGACCAGGAAACAGAGTACGTGCCGTGGTACGCTGCTCTGGGCGAGATCGGCTACATCAGAAACATGCTTCTCACCAAACCCATCTTTGGAAAGTTTGAGGTTTATTTGATTAAGAAAATGCATTTTAATTTTGAAAAATTAAAAAGGTATAACCTAATATTACTCACCCACATATTTCATAAAGCATGTTAAATCTTCGGAAAAAGTATGCTTTGTTGAAAAGTTTTAGGTTATACTTCTCATGGACTTTGAAAACTAAAGAAGATGGGCGAACAAGGCGAGCAAAATGCCTACTGTGCGACAAATATGAAAGAGAAAAAGTAAATCTCAATTATGACATAATTTTCTTTTATATTTCCTTTAACATTAAAGTATACTTTATGTAAAATCTCCACAAATCGCAACAATCTCACAAAAAATGAAATAATGTTATTCGTCTTTGAAATAACATACATACACCAAAAAGAGCAAAAAAGATCAATTTTTCAACACTCAATTTTTTCATATGAGTGAGTCTTCGTTCCACTCTTTTTTGTTTGTTTGTTTTTGTTTTGTTTGTATGTTTTTTGAAAGATTATATCCAAAGTATGCGTAAAATAATACATTCATACATGGAGCAAAGATCCACTTTATTATCGTAAAAACATTTTTTATGACACAACATTCATATCTTTCCGAAAAATATTCAATTCCATTTAGTCAAAGGTCATAACACAAACATGATCTAAATGCTGATATAGCGTAGTTTAGCGTGTTAGTCTCTAACGAAAAATTGATACTCAGGATTTTTATCTAGGGTTCGAAACCCAGGAATATCTTTTTTTAAATCATTGAATGATTTTTGCCGAAAGAATTTTCCGCAGAAAAGTTGTGTTTGTCATAATTTCAAACCTTTCAGTGATAGGAACTTTACTCCAAATACTAAATTCTTAAACTAAATATGACGCTATAGGCATTTCGAACGCCTTGTTTGCCTATCTCCTTAAAAAAAAGGATTATTTTTTGTTCTGCAACAATATGACGATGTGTGTTTTACACCCTGTTGAATTTACATGAAACAAAGAAAAACAAAATAAACGATTAAAGGGAATTTAAAAAAAAAGAAATAGAAAAAATCAATAGAAAATCAAACCAAAAAAAAAAAAAGATAAAGAAACGAATAAATGAAATAGATAAATTTTTACAACAAAACAATTTAAGATTTTAATGACTAAACGTGTAATGAAAACACTGAATCTGGGATGAAGTGAAAACGACTGAAGGTCAATTTGCTCTGCTCCTAAATCCCCCGTGCTTGGTTCGGGGTAACTACTCAAACGTAGGTATTCCAGGATCGGCCCGGTAACTGGTCCAGTGATTCTATCTGAAACGCCTTTTAGGAAATGGCCTTCACAAAAGAAAATGAAAAATATATACAATTCTGCAGTAAGAAATGCGGATTGTAAGATTACATGAGTCACTCAGTTGACCAGTTGTTATATGTATATGTTCTAGATTTCTTGTTCATCGTTCATGTCCCCTAAGGCCTTTGGTTTTGGCCCGAGAATAGGATAAGGTGGTCATATTATTTGAAAATTCCTACCACTTTTAAAAATCCTCTCCTTTACTCATTCACGAACGTCTTGCAGTCAAATTTTAGCGAACTTTTAATGAACACTTATTCCTCTGCAAGTTTACCAAATATGTGCTGTCTGATTCTCCACCTAAATGAATTAGATCTATGCCCCTTCGGTTCATACACCAGTGTTGTAATAAGTGGGGTTGTCATTGAAAATTGTCTTGAACAGTGAAAATTCAAAGTCTTATTTATTTCTGGATGTAGCAAACAAACGCTTTGCATGGTTGTGAGTTTTTATCCCTTTCCAAAGCGTAACTGGGTGAATTCAAAAGAAATGACCAATCACATATTTTTTTTACCTGCACTAAAAGTACAGGCAATGGGAATAAAGGATGATTCTCTATAAGGTCATTTTCCGGCCTACGATAAAATCACTTAAAAATGTGATTTTATGTAACTTTAATCATTGTATTTCATGATTTTGATGTTTGTTTTTCAACATCGATCACATAAGTCGCGTGATTTAAAGATCACAAACGGCCGTCAAGTAAAGAAAAATTGAGGGTAGGTCTATTTACTTCAAGTTTCTATGCATGTTTCTAGATGTAAATGATCAAAAATTGTTTATTTATGTCGGAAACATATCAGACTTAAGTAATAAAAGCAAAGATTGTTTAATTCAAGGCTAAAGATATATTTTTATGGCAAGAATTTTGATGCATTCACATTTTGCATATTTTGAATGTAAATCTTTACAAAATGCGCCTCGTATGATGTTAAAAAATGTTTAATTAGCATTTAATTAAAAGTATTATTTCATATATGTTTATATTGTGATTGTGTATTGTTTCTATAGATGTGGTACCTATTTTACGCATAAAATGCCCATGCAAGAAATGAGATTTCTAAGTTTCTATTCAACTATAAAAGTTGTGTATCAAATGTTTAAAGCAATGAATGAATTTTGTTTGTGATTAAATCAAAATTAAGTTGTAATTTATAAAATATAGTCTACATTTGCAGAAAAAATAAAGAATTCATTAATTTACAGGATAAAAATATTAATGCAAGTACATGTTAATAGTCAGTACATAAAACTCAAAAGGTTGTATTAAAAATATATATATCGACGTAAAATGAAATAACATCGTAAGAGTTGCTTTGATTCAATTTAATTACGCATGTAAAACAATATATTTAATTTAAAATGCTATCTAAACTATAATACACAAATGTATGTATAAAAGTCGAGTCCCCCCCCCCCCCCCCCCTCACGGCACTCCATAAAATGGAGTAGATTTTCAACAGTTCCCTCCACTACGCATATCAGAAGTTTTAGTATATCCATGGACTAACAGGGTTCTACAACATCCCAGGTACAAAATGGACCGTAAGAGATGACACTCCTTTCGCACTCTTGAAACCTGAGGATTAAATTCTCTTTCCGTGCTGCGTCAAGAACTAAGGTGTTTAACACGGGTAGTGACAGTTCCTTTGCTAACTCCTCCGCATTGAAAGTAAAAGTCATGGGTCTTTTGGATATTATCTTAAAGAAGGAGGTCCTGTCCCACGGTAGGTGTTGGTCAATACTGAAACCATGCATAAATCAAAATTGTGACACTTCACCTTAAGTGGATGATCTCTTTATCTGGGTGAAAAATTCTAAAATGACGTAAAGCAACATTCAATTATCAATCACGTGACATTTAGGAACCCCTTTCCTCCTTGGCGTTTTATTTTCTAAGACAGAACTACTGTTCTCATAACTTATATTGATGCTACCAAAGAAGTTTGATGAATAGATTGAGTCCTCTCAATACCCAGTTAACAAAATACATGGATCCTATGTCACTCATACGGAAAAGTGTCCTTCTAAAAGGTCGAGGCGAGAATTTCCATTATGAAACCATCCCATCAGTAATTCTCTATCTATAAAAGTTGCGTGTGTACCCATAGAAAAATTAAGTTTATAACACAAATAGCAAATGCATCTTCCCGCTACAACAAAAATAGCTTTTATCATTTCTAGAACTAATAACAAATATGCAGTACTCCTAAGGAAATACAGATACAAAGAATTAGCATAGATAAACTAAACTACCCTATTAATAATAATAATTATATTAAGTAACTTATATTCATGCCTTATAGTCTATAAAAAATTTCTTTATTTCTAGCAGATAGTTCAATGAGACTTGTCTTCACGTAATTTCAGAACAACCAGTCATTTCAGTCCTTTGATTTTAGATTTTTTAAGTAAAACGTTTACCTTTTTTGAGTAAACATGCATGGCTTATATTAATTCTTAGTAAATCAATAGAAACATGTACTCTAAGTGGAAGTTTATAATAAGAAATAATCTACATAAGCTGATATCCTTCATATTGAGTAGTTAGCTTTTCCTGCAAATATCGTAAAAATGAAGCGAAAAGTTTTTATTTACATGTCATAACCACCTTTAACCAAGTTGATAATTTGGTAGTCACTTTTTATGTTCATAAGAAGTTTACATGCAAATTTTGGTGTTGGTTAAAGGTGGTTATGACATGTGTAGGAGTTACCTAACACACCAACCCTCTTGAGTTTTCCCATTACCCTAATGCTAATACGGACCGATAGTACCTTACTTTGTGACCCTATATCATAACAAATACTTTTGTATCATTAACCAATCAACATTTTTCATTAAACTGGAACATTAGCCTACTGACTCATGCAGTTTTTAAGGGAAAAAATACTATCTGAAAATTTGAAGTCATTGTAGGCCGCAAAACGGCCTTATAGAGAATGATCCTTTCTTTGTCTCGTAATATGTCTTTAGATAGTGTCTAAATACCTGCCAAAATAGCTCGTTGATATCTCAATTCATAAAAAAAGTTATGCCCAAAAATGATGCTAAAAATGTCAGGAGTGCAACACCTTTTTGTGACATTTTGAAAATTCAATATTTTTTAAAGATCTGTGAAATAAATAATAATGGTTTATGGTGGAAATAAAGACTTTCCTGATAAAATTCAAAGTATTGAGCTTTAAATGTAGACTGTAGCAACTTTTGTTTGACCAAGTTGTGGTCATGACTGATGTTGAAAAAAATGTTATACCATGTCAGGAATGCAACAGAAAAAATGTAGTGTCGCCAAAAAAGCATCGATTTTAAAAATCTGAAAGACAATAAAGTCAAAAAAAAAAATTTTGAAAGTGTAAAACAATAACTGATATACAATTTATAACTCAAAAATGTTATATAAATCACAAGCAGCATTAATGAGAGTCAAGTATCTGTGCATACCCAATAATGTCAGGAGTGCAACATTTGATGTTTTGTTCCCCAGCATTAAAAAAACTTTTATCAGTATATGATTCTCTGATTTTTATTTTGGAAAATAAAAACACAAAGAACATTTTTACCAAATAAATTTATCGATTACAGGGTATGTCTATGTTTCAGATCTATATTTGTATGGTCAGGAGTGCAACACATTTTTTTAAAGATTCAAGTTATATGATGAAAAGACTTCTACTCATGCTAAGAAATATTCTTTAAATAATAATGATCTATTTGAACAATTTAGTACTAAACTATTGACAGTTTTATTATTAAAATCCTTCTCTTTTTCAATTTTATCAATTCAGATATGTTCTTATCTTTTCTTTGATTTTTTTAAGAAATGTGAAAAATAAACACACTGAAAAATTGTTATAAAGTTCAAGTAATTCCACCTTAACTTCACTGAAACAACAGAACAAGTTCGGATATAATTTTCGCTTCACAATTTCTACTTACTCCCATGCTCTTGGTGAGGAGTACAACAAATATATTCGAATTATTGCTGATCAAATATGAATAAATATAAGGAAAAAAATGATGATAGAATGTTTTTGGTTGACCACAGTTGCTTACAGTGTTTGTCCTGTGAAGGAAAATGTACTATAACATTTATTTTATCCTCTAAATATATATTTTAGCTAGTTTTTTTTTTGTTGTTGACATAAATAGGAAATAATTCAAGATATTAAGTCAAGTTTAAATACTTTCATGCGTTTTAATTATGAATTATTGGGCTATAAATATTGCACAATTTCGTTACCACTTGATGTTGCCAACACTTTATGAATTTTTGTGTTCTATGGTTTGAATTTTAGATTTTACTGCAGTCAGGAGTGCAACAAAACTGTTTTATAATTCTCAATGATCTTCATCTATCTTTACTAAAAAATAAATTGAAAAAAAATTTTTGATACTATTTGATGTTCAAAACATTATTTCTATCAACTAATTACAGACATTTTACAGTTAATTGAGAGAATAGTTTTCATCACTTAACATATACTTTTAAATACATTGTATATATATTACACATTGCAAAAATCATGTTTTAAGTCTTGAAAATATGAAAAACTTGCCGTAAATGATAAAAAATATCAAAACGACGAACTGATTTACAAACTAGAATGGGTTACTGTGTGTTATAATTTTTAAAACAATGTTAAATAAAATCGGATATCAGATGTCAGGAGTGCAACACAATAATGTTACAAAGGGTCACTTCAAAATCTAGTATTGTTTGTAAGAAAACTTGTATGTCAAAATTCTCTTTTGGCTTAAATTTAAAGAACTGACATAAATGGACAAAAAATGATTTGGGGGTAGGTTTTATTGTTTCATATTTCTTTCATATTAAAACTTTTCAAACCAGAATTGAAAAAATAATGTAAAATAACAATTGAAAAAACAATTTTTTTCCACATATACAAGAGAAGAAACTCAATCAAGGTTTAGATCTAATCAATTATATCCCTGATACCATTTTGAAGTATGAAAAAACTGTAGTTTCTTTTGATTATATATTTTAGAGAGTCTTTTAGGATATAGTGATATTTTCTTTTTTCAAATAAAGTTTTACTAATAAAAATTCTGAAATTTTTTTATCCAATTGTCTATTCTATTACAAATTCAGAAAGGATCATTCTCTATAAGGCCGTTTTGCGGCCTACAATGACTTCAAATTTTCAAATAGTATTTTTTCTCTTAAAAACTACATGAATCAGTAGGCTAATGTTTCAAATTAATGATAAATGTTGCTTGGTTAATGATACAATAATATTTGCTATGATATAGGGTCACAAAATATACCTATCGGTCCGTATTAGCATTAGGGTAATGGGAAAACTCAAGAGGGTGGGTGTGTTAGGTAACTCCTACACTTGTCATAACTACCTTTAACCAACACCAAAATTTGCTTGTAAATTTCTTATAGACATAAAAAGTGACCACCAAATTATGAACTTGGTTAAAGGTGGTTATGACATGTAAATAAAAACTTTTCGCTTCATTTTTACGATATTTGCAGGAAAAGCTAACTACTCACAATGAAGGATGTCAGCTTATGTAGATTATTTCTTATTATAGACTTTCAGTTAGAGTACATGTTTCTGTTGATTTACTAAGAATTAATATAAGCAATGCATGATTACTCAAAAAATATCAACTTTTTACTTTAAAAAAATCTAAAATCAAAGGACTGAAAAGACTGGATGTTATGAAATTACACGTGGAGACAAGTCTCATTGAACTCTCTGCTAGAAATAAAGAAAAAAAACTTTTTTATAGACTATAAGGTGTGAATATGTTATTTACTATAATTATTATTATTTATAATGATAGTTTAGTTTATCTGTGCTACTTCTTTGTATTTTATACTTCCTTAGGACTACTGTACATCTGTTAGTTCTAGAAATGATAAGAGCTATCTTTGTTGTAGCGGGAAGATGCATTTGCTATTTGTGTTAGCATCAATATAACTTACTAGAACAGCAGTTCTGTCTTAGAAAATAAAATGCCGAGGAGAGGGGTTCCGTAATGTCACATTTGATTGATAACTGAATGTTGCTTTACGCCATTTTAGAATTTTTTACCCAGATAAAGAGATCATCCACTTTAGGTTAAATGTCACAATTTTGATTTATGCATGGTTTCATTATTGACCAACACCTGTCGTGGGACGGGACCTTCTTTTTTTTTAAGATAATATCCAAAAGACCCATGACTTTTACTTTTAATGCTGAGGACTTAGCAAGGGAACTGTCACTAACCGTGTTAAACACTTCAGTTTCTGACATGGCACTGGGAAAGAGAATTTAATCCTCAGGTTCAAGAGTGCGAAAAGAGTGTCAAACTCTTGGGCCCATTTTGTACCTGGGATGTTGTAGAACTCTATTTAGTCCATGGATATACTAAAACTTAATTTTGATATGCGTAGTGGAAAAAACTGTTGAAAATCTACTTCATTTTATGGAGTGCCGTTAGAAAGTGGTGGTGGGGGGGGGGGAGGGGGGGGCAGAGACTCAACTTTTTTTATATACATTTGTGTATTATAGGTTAGATAGCATTTTTCATTAAATATATTGTTTTGCGTAATTAATGAAATCAAAGCAATTCTTACGATGTTATTTCATTTTACGTAGATATATATATTTAATACAACCATTCTGAGTTTTATGTACTGACTATGTATATGAATAGTCAACATGTACTTGCAGGAATATTTTCATCCTGTAAATTAATGAATTCTTTATTTTTTGTAAATGTAGAATTTTTAATTTATTAATTGCAACTTAATTTTTATTTAATCACAAACAAAATCCATTCAATGCTTTCAACATTTGATACAAACTTTTATAGTTGAATAGAAACTTAGAAAACTCATTTCTTACATGGGCATTTTCTGCGTAAAATAGGTACCACATCTATAGAAACAATACACAATTACAATATATACATATATGAAATAATACTTTTAATTAAATGCTAATTAAATATTTTTCAACATCATACGGTGTGCATTTTGTAAAAATTATTCAAAATATGCAAAATGTAAGTGCATCAAAATTTTTGTCATAAAAGATATCTTAAGCCTTAAATTAAACAATCTTTGCATTTATTACTCAAGTCTGATATGTTTCCGACATAAATAAACAATTTTTGATCATTTATATTTAGAAACATGCATAGAAACTTGATGTAAATAGACCTACCCTCAATTTTTCTTTAATTGACGGCCATTTGTGATCTCTAAATCACGTGACTTAGGTGATCGATGTTGAAAAACAAACATCAAAATTATGAAATAAAATGATTAGAGTTGCATAAAATCTCATTTTTAAGTGATTTTATCGTAGGCCGGAAAATGGCCTTATAGAGAATCATCCTTTAACTAGAATACATTTACAAAATGATGATATAAGTAAAAAATATATTAAGGGTAATTGAATTTTTTCAAAAAAAAATCTATTTGTTGGTCATTTTTTTTAATTCACCCATCTGTGAAAACTATGAACTTAGTATTTCGATCCAGTGTATGCTAAGTTGGTCATGTTTCTCATTATATCTTTTTATTAAATCTTCTTTACTTCTGAGTTTATAGGAGACAAGCTACGTGTAATGAAATAATGAAGAGAGACCTCTGAAGAAATGTAAAAAAAAAATATTTTACATGCATTCTCAGATGGAACATGTTTGGTCACTGTTTCATAACTCGGATGTGACCATCAAAGTCAATGGTTGACCGTTCTCTTGTTTTATGTAGGTTTATATGAGATCTAAACTGGAGACGATTTTTGGCAAGATTGGATTCAACGGCAATGTAGACGAAACGATGAATGACAGGTAAAATTGGACAATTTTTTCATTTTTTTTTTTTTATCAAAAAATTGCTATGATAATTTAATCGATAAAATTAAGTACACTATAGCTAGGGTTACGGAATAACAATTGCACTCACTCTAATGTAACTTAGATTGTGTTCATTTAAACATATCCTCTAGAACAACCGAACCAGAAAGACAAAACTTATGTGAAAGCTTTCTCAATGAAAGTTCAAATCAGGAACCCTGGGGCTAGGGTAGGATTACAGGAGGGATTACGGTTTTCTTTGAATAAAACGGAATTAAAAAAAATCTTTCTCTCAAGAACAGAAGGGCAACAATTAGCCATATTGATAAATAAACATCTGTAAATTGTAAATATAATGACGTTTGTTCACATCATGACCCCCTGGGCTTGTGTGGAGCCACAGTAGAAAGTAATAGTTTAACATTGGACTATTTAGGGACAGTCTTTGAAAATCTGATAAAAGATTAATTTCAAAAAGAAAGTTACATGAATCGTTGCAAGTAATTAAGATTTCCGCTTACATTTCAATTTAACAATATATTTAGCATTGTTAAAAAGTTGTCAAGATTACCATAAATATCACATTACATTAAAAAACATGTCATATACAATCCTATCAATTTTTTTATAGGTTACTAAGGTCTTACATAGTTGGCGGTGCTTGTTATTACTACAACCAAAATTGTACGAACCAGGCTGTTAGATTATTTAACAATTGGTTGGACGACGAAACACAATTGTATGTATAATTCGCATTTAGGATAAATATCTGACATTAGAATAAATCAGTGGTACATGTGCATACAGGTAATTAAAATTATACGAAATTTCTAATTGTAAGAAAGACTCGACATTAGAGCTCTATTTTTATCTCATAAAATTGTGAATTAAAGACATTTGCTTCACTTGAATAAGTGTGCTGCTATGCTTATCTATTCTTTTCCCAAAGAAAATTAACAATTATACAATCAACTAAGGAACTGATATTATTTTGGATTATTCGGAATACTGACATTAAAGAGAAAAATTCTTTTGGCTATAGAATCCCACCTGACGTTAAATCTCGCGTGATGTGTACCGGGATCCGAGAATCTCGTTCTGACACCTGGGACAGACTGTTTGCACGAATGGCATCTCAGACGCCTTCCGACCAAGCCATCATAATCAGTGCATTGGGTTGCTCTAGGGAACATTGGGTGCTAGAACGGTATGTTTTGTTAAGAATACGTGCAACTACTAGTATATGCTAGGTAAACTTTATTGTTCGTATGGATTTAAACAATAAAATGCTTTCTGTGGTTGTTAATATGTGAATGGATGTTGCAGCTGTTGCAGAAAAATTGCATGTAATTTTTTCTGCAATAGCTGCATTCCCATACTAACAAACAAAGACAGACATTTTATTGTTTACATGTATATCCGTACAAAAAATCATCTTAAGTTGGATTAAGTAGATTAAATACTGTATTATTAATATGTACGTCATCGTGCGTTTTACTGATGGAAGAGGCACTGCTCAAGAAATCTGTACAGGTGATATGCTTATTGCTGTTTACTGACTGATAAACAGCAATGGTTTAAGGAGAAGATATTCAGCGGATGTAAATATTTATAGATGAATATAGTTTAGCTTATTAAGCTTTGAGACTATATATATTTTGGATTTTGGACTGTGCAGTGGCCTGTATTGCCGTACTGTTAAATTCTACTGATCGCTTGTCAGGCTTTGTTTTTGTTTTTTTAAATTAGATAAAACTTTATCATATCAATACTCGAGAGTTGTTGAACCATGTTTTCGTTAGGATTTGCAAATGCTGGTTTTACTGTTCTGGCTTGTGCTTATGTCAACGTTTGTTGTATCATTGCCAGATCGTGAGAATAAACACTGGGCCGACACTGTACAATTACATGATAGTTACTGTCGGGCTAGTTTTAAGTTCACCTGAAACAAGATCAAACGCTTGTGAAATACACATGTACATGTATAGTGCTTCCGAGTTAACACTGGATGCTACTATTTGACAAGTTTGTTTCCTAACAGGTATATGTCTTATGCCTTTGACGATACTAAGATCCGCCGACAAGATGCACGAAATGCTGTTTTGGCTGTTATATACAACCCCCTTGGAAGAGATCTTGCCTGGAATTATCTGCAAAGGAACTGGAATCACATAACTGCAGTGTAGGTGTTTGGCAAGATTTATGTAATAAATACATGTAATTGATGGTAGTATGATTTTAGCATCAAATACTAGTATTAACAATATTCATTGTTATCTCATTTCTTAATGAAAAACTTTACACACTACCTGAAATATTGTAAGACTGTTTATCTTATATTTCTAATAGATATTTAAGGTTTAATTAAATTTGGGTTAGAATGCTCTGTATATGTTTGGCTATACCAAATAATCTAATGAAACAGTAATTAACTACCAAGGATGTCCAACACTTACGGAATATTTTGTTTGCTCAGATACAGAATGAGTGGAGGAAATATCAACAGAATTTTAAGAGGTCTGGCTTCTCGGTTAACCACTCAGTATCAGAGGGATGAGGTAACTTTTACTTGAAATTAAATATGATTAAAAAAGAAATACAATGTCCTGCAGTATCCTTAATAACTGACTTTTTGGACATATCAATTATAACTTTACTTATTTTAATAATTTTTTTTCATCAAGCTTGCCAGTTTGAGAGGATCTTTAGAAGTAGACAGTCCATATATTACATTCTTTGACAATGCACTTCAAGATGTTGATCTTAACGTCAACTGGGTAGACAAACACTACAGCGAACTGGAGGCCTGGTTATCATAAATTAAAGAAGCTAGCAATGGGAATATTCAATTAAAATATTTTTTTTTAATTTTATCAATATACAATCCCATTGTTGAAAGCATTTGTCAAATAAAGATGTGTTCCCTGAAAGAGAATTTCAGGAATTGTCTTCTCACAGAAATTTGTTATAAATAATTGCAAAGTCTGTATTTTTTGTAAATCCAAGATTTTTTTATCTTAATGTTTTCTCAAACTTGTTTATGTGTACGTTTTTTCCTTATGTTTTCATGATTACTTAAAAATAACTTCATGTATGGAAAGTATCCAGATACACAGAAATATGTTAATTTTATAGCAATCTTCCTCTTTTCTATATATATATATATATATATATATATATATATATATATATATATATATATATATTGCAGAATCCTAATGCCATTATGTTTGCAATGCAGTCATTTACTTGTATTTGAATTATAACTTCCTTCCAGGAACCAATCACTCAGAAATGTGTGATGCTTTATAAAGTTGCCATTCTGCTGGAAATCCAATCAGATTTTATCCACCATTGTCTTGTATATGGCTAATTCCATACTCAACAATTATTGTTTTTGATTACCCAGACTTATTCCACCCGAATTTAAAACTGTAGAGATATCATTTTCAGCGAGATGTTTTTTTGTGGAAAATACTAGGTATTCCTTTTTCACAGTAATTGAACGTAAAATTTAGTTCTGATGTATATAACGTATGTTTATTTGTGTGATTGCAGGTATACATAAATATATGACCTCATTGTAAATTATTTCTGAGCTTATTTAATGATATTTTCTGAAAATAAAATTTTGATAATATTTGATTTTGTTTACATTCATAAAAGTGAAAGAAAACTCTTAACTATTCAATTAATTGATCAGTTACAAAGCAGAAATGAGCAGCCGCAATGCAAGATGAGATTCTGTAAAATATTTTTTTTTTCGTGGGATCAGATTTTCATGGTTTGAATAAAAATTAATTGGTTCGTGGGGATTTGATTTCGTGAATAAAATCGTGTTGACTTGTTATAAGTTTGAAGACATGAATTCGTGGGGTTTTTTTATACCACAAAATCAATGAAAATAAAAACCCCAAGAAAAGTAGTGATTTCTTAGTACTGTGGAATCGTTTTTCATGGGGTTAAAGTTCGTTCTTTTTGTATTTTGAATATACCCATAATTTTTGTCCTCCACGAAATGTTTCTTCTTTCAACACGAAATTAAATGCAAACAACGAAAATTTGACCCACCAAAACAAGTAATTTAACAGTATGTGGATAGGATGTATACTTTTGTGTATTGAATGGTAAAATATTAAATAGTTCTAAAATTTTATACACGAAGAGGAACCACCTAAACCGAACTTACCAACAATGTGCATGTATTTTCGATTCAAGAATCAAGGAGCTAGCAATGGGAATATTCAATTAAAATAATTTTTAATTTTTTTTTATCAATTTAGAATCCCATTGTTTAAAAGCATTTGTCAAATAAAGATGTGTTCCCTAGCCGGCCTGAAAGAGAATTTCAGGAATTGTCTTCTCACAGAAGATGGCTATAGATAAATGTAAAGTCTGTATTTTTTGTAAATCCAAGTTTTTTTATTTTAATGTTTTCTCAAACTTGTTCAAGTGTACGTTTTTTTCCTAACGTTTTCACGATAACTTAAAAATACACAGACGTATGGTAATATTATAGCAATCTTCACAGTAATTGAGCATAAAATTGTGTTTTATTTTGTTTGAATTGATTTTTATATTTGTGTGATTGCAGGTATACATAAAGATATAACCTCACTGTATATGATTTCTGAAATTATATTATGATATTTTCTGAAAATAAAAATTTGATAATATTTGATCATTATATTCGTTAAAGTGAAGGAAATCGCTTAACTATTCTATTAGTTGATCAGTTACAAAGCAGAAATGAGCAGCTGCAATGTAAGATGAGATTCTGTAAAGTCACTATTTTCGTGGATAGAAAATTTCATAGTTTGAATAAAAATTATTGGTTCCTGGGTATTTGATTTCTTGAATGAAGACGTGTTGATTTGTTATAAGTTTGAGAACATGAATTCGTAGGTCTTTTCATACCACAAAATCAATGCATGAAAATTAAAACTCCAAGAAAAGTAGTGATTTCACAGTGTTGTGAAGTCGTTTTTCACTGGGGTTGAAGTTCGTTCTTTTCGCATTATGAAGATACCCACAATTTATGTCCTCTACGAAATGTCAAAACTTCAAACTAAGTACGGTATCATGTTTCTTCTTCAAACACCAAATTCAATGCAAACAACGAAAATTTGACCCCACCAAAACAAGTGATTTTACAGTAATTAGAGAGGTTTCATACTTTTAGTTCTAAAATCTTATATACGAAAGGGAACCACTTAAACCGAATTTATCAACAATGTGCATGTAGATATCGTAGGGATTTTCAATTCAAAACATCATTTCTCGTGTTGTAAGATTTGTATGCTTCTAACATTGTATTTTTGATCAGTTCATTTGTTGTAGTTGTATAGGGAATATCAGGGAGTTTTCTCCTCCACATAGTTACGATAAAAACTTAACTTCTCTTGAACAGCATTAAACATATATTTGGAAATCATAGAAAAAAAACCCATTTGAATCAATATATGAAAATGAATGAAAATTGAAAACAAATGAAGTTTATGTGAAAGACATAGGTTAATGGTGTTCTTGAAACACTGCAGCATCGATATGAATGTTCCTTGAAACACATCAACAAACTCTCAGCATTTTATCCATTAAATGAAAGAGGGGATGACGAACTATCACTCTCACTCCTTACAAACAAGTCCTTTCTTCTCTAATTCCCTTATCAAATAAAGAGCACATACTAATCACTGCGTTATTTCTTTTGTGTCGAATATCCACCATAGCTTCATGTAGTCTAATGGCTTTCAGTTTATATTGGAATGTATGGTTGGCAGTGTAGCAATCGTTTTAACAAGTGCACATATGGTTTACAACACAAATAGAAAAACTTCCAAACTGTGGGTCATGTAATGACGAGTGAACACTGTAAATTTGTGGAGACAGGCTGGTATAGGTACATTATGTCTGTGTCAGGACCGAAGACTCGAGAGTCGGGGAGATGTATCTATACTATGGCGCCGTATCGTGTCTTGTTCTACCACCGGTTCGAGTATGTGGCTAAATATATGTCCATTTCCATGACGATGATGCAAGGATTTTATGGATAGAGGATTTGTGATTTTGGGACGGTTTGTCTTGATGTCGAGTTCGTAAGCCTCGGTTTTCTCTATAATGTAAAATTAAGAACACTTAAAAGTTATTGTAAAACTTAACATAAAAAATTCCGAATTTAAATAAATTTAATTTACTCAGTGAAACAAAAGTTACCTGTATGTTTGATTTTTGTTGTTGGTTTAAGAGACGATTCTATCGTAGGTTTGGATGATCCTTCATAGAAACCGAAAAATCCCAAGTACGGATTAATAACTTTTGCAGCCAGCCGCTCCAATCGCGCGTAGTTTTCACTTGGTGGGAATCCATCGTGTATACCCTATAAAAACATATTCATAAACTTTTATCTCAATTTCGTTTAAAAAACAGAAAAAATATATATATTTATATTTTGAGGCATTTTTAAATTAAATTCGGTTTCTCACTAGAGACACAGATTTTAATTAGGATAATCTGATCCCCGGGTTCTGAAAATCAAGTTAAGATAAAGTAATTGAAAATGCTCAGAAAAATGTCACTGAATTTCCAAAGTAATGTGGATTTCTTCAAAGTTTATCATTATAGGTAATCATATTACACAGTGAAAATTACCAAATCTCAAATATATTGTCAGGAAACGCGAATAAAAGCACTTACATACGTAGTTATGCATTTTCTAATTGGAAATTAATCAACAAGTATAGTGTTAAAAGCTTGTAGTATCATTGTAAGACATAACAAATCACTTCCAATTTCATATCATGCTAATAAGCGTTTGTGTCTAAGGCAAGATTACAGGGAAAATGAATTTAGTTTTGCTGGGTGAAACAAGACAAATAAAAGAAGGACTTCAAAAAACCTCGAATCATAATGAAATGCATTAAATGAAAATTGTTGCATGAAAAAATTTCAATTTCAACCTTCGTTTTGAGACTTATTCATTTAAATAATAATTTAAAGAGTTATTGTTCCTGGTCATGGAACTCCTTAAAATCAGTATCTGAGTGAAAGTAAACGATGGCGGTTTATATTTTGCTTGCAGGCATTACCGGGGCCAAATATTCCTATATTCTTCCTATCAAAGCTGACTGTATTTGTGAACACGTACTAATTTACTTGAAGATTGCAAATTGTGTTGACACGCAGCATACAGTGTGTGTATGAAAAAAAATATATAAAGAAAATACGTGTGGTATGATTATTTCAAATTACATTTTCAATTAATAAGCAAAAATAAACCTTTTTGGGGGTGTCTATGAGGGAGACAGTCCGAGTAATATTGCAATTGAAGTACGTGATAATTCTTAAATGCCGAATTTTTTTTTTATCATTCTCAGGCTATTCTGCCTTACAAATCTTCTTATTCATGGAATTCAAATTCTTAATATTGCAATGTGATTTTTGGAATCTAAATATAGCCAAAAATAGTAAGGATTATCTTCCGAAATTACCATACTGTTTTCAATAATACATTCATATAGATTGGCTTTGGCAATCCTCTCTCGCTGAACTTAATAAAATGGCAACAACAGACAACCAATTTACAAGCAATTGCTGCTATGATGTAATTAATTTATTAATAGTCACTTACAAATGATAGATTCTGATCTTTTAGAATTTTTCTTATACGAAATTCACAAAAATGGACATGAAATCGATAACTCATTAATTTCTTCATTTCCCTTCTTAAATTAGGCAATTATTCCAAAACTGCTTCTCCTAAAGTGCAGATCAATCTCATGCCCTACAACGATCAGTATTTATTTTCTTGTCAGACTGAGAGGCAGAATGGTTATTTTCATGTTACTAGTTTGAATTATGCAACAAAATTATACTAACCTGCAGAACCAAAAGCATCTGTATAATTTGTGAGGGAACATCTTCTCTTGCTACAGAATTCAAGGTATCTGGGAAAAAAGTTAAATTTTTGCAATACAAATCACCTACATGTAACTATGCAAAAGCCTTTCTTCAAATTTGAATAAAAAATCTAGAATGCTTTTATCATATAGAGATTCTCACCTTCCATTCCTACTTTCAAAACTACCACATCTCTAAATTCCAACATAGAGACTTTTCGTATCGACACGTCTTTGTTCTGTAAATTAATTAACAAATCACCAACCTTAAATTACAGAAATACTGCGAGGAAAGAAAGCAGGCTTTTGAATACATGTTGAAGAGTAAAAGTTATCATCAAAGAAAACGCAGCGAATCAATAATTTAACAAAGAACGGGATGAGCTCGGAATCTTTATAATTAAAGGACAAGGACAAGGAACGACACGAGTTTGAAACCTTTATAATTAACAGACGAACGACATGAGGTTGAAATCTTTATAATTAACGGTAGACGGGAATCGACACGGTGATTAACTTACTGGCAGAGGATACAACATCGCCTGTAGTATAGGAAGGACTTGTGTATAAAAATAGTTCCACTGGTCACTCATTTTCTTGAGAAGTACCAAACCTGCACATAGAATTCAAACGTAAAAGAACAAAGAAACTTTTTTTTTTTACATTGTAAATTGTAATAATTTGAGATCTTTTTATCAAGTTGTATTCAAGATGACATGCTCAGATTAAATTTTTATATACCTAAATCATTCTTCATGAATTCACGTAGTATCACCATTCCTTTCTTCAATAATTTATCCTGAAAAAAAAAGAATTATTGAATTACTGTCATTATTCGTCTACATCAAATATAAGCCTAAAGCATTTGTAAAAAATACAAAATTGCAGGAAACTTGGTACGATTCAATAATAAAAAATACACAGACCCATAAGCACAACAAGCGAAAATCTTGAGTTATCAAAATTTGAATTAATATAACGATTTTTTTGGCACAAAAAGTAAGCTCTTTGGCCTATTCGACTTCAGAATACCTCATGTTATCGTAATATATACAAAACAAGACGGATTTTGATAGGATGCGCAACGTTTAGAAACGGATCGTAATCATTTGTTTCCTATTTTGTGTTGAAAATAAGGAACTGGTTTCCAACACAGACAGAGAAACACAAATCAGATACAATGAAGGATTAAGTCTTGCATTATTCATCACAAAGCGGAAGTGCGCATTAATATCTGCAATTCTTGACAGGCATGACGAACATGGGGGAAATACTTGATTGGTAAAGATAAAGCAATCATATTTTTACAAATAAATTTAAATTACCTTGAAGAAGTCGTAGATGAGAGGACCTGCTTCAGAGTCCACCAAATTCCTTAAAATAATAAAATGATAATAATGAAAGAAAATTAGTGGTCATATTCACAAACTGCTAGGTTAAAAATCTTTTAAAGAAATTTATCATTTTCAAGTGATGTGCTTGAAAAAAAAAAATCTGTAAACTCATTTATTTCGGCATCGTAAAGACACTATAGTACACTATGTATGCAGGCTTTTATTCTAAAAATATGAAAATGATAAATTAATAGAACTTGAAAAGGATGTTTTTAAGATATTTTGACAAGTGTATCCTGGCTTAAGTCTAAATATATCGTTGTTCTTTGATAGTATATTTATAGTTATTTACAATGAACCTCGATGAAAAATTTGAATAAAAATTAAAAATAAAAACAAAAAAAAAAACACTTATGCGAATCTAATGTTTATTTCAGAAGGTATTTTCGTAAATTTTTTGCTTATATGTGACAGACAATAAATCTTCCCCAAAATAGCAAAATTATAGTTTAAACCACTTTTTAACACTAGAAAAATTATCAGATTCTGATAAATACACAACTTTATTTGACTGGGGCTTTCTATCATGTAGGTAAAAACAAAATCGTCCCAATATACCTTGACACAGATATTAATCAATTGAGAATATTCCTTCGCCTGACACCGCGGTTTTATTTACATAAATCATACCTAAATACAGTTATATATGAACACATGTTGTGATGTGTGGCTTTTCTGTTTAATTAAAGGTACTAAATAGATGCAATTCTTACCCATTACAGTTTCGTTTATGACATGGAAAGTAAATGAACAGATTATGCTGTTTCAAAAATGTAGTTTATTAAATTAATTTGCACCTGGTTGAGTCATGAATAAGAATGATTCACCTATAAATAGCTCGTATATTTCAAAGATAACTATTCTAAATATGTAAAATTATCCATGAATAACTTAAAGCACACTTTCACGGCAAAAAAAAAAAATGAAACCAAAATACACTTTTTAAAAACACTTATTATCGATTATCATAAAATAATCCCCTCTACTGAAAGTTTTAAAATAAACTATCTGCAATACAGACATGTACCAATATTTCTTTCTTAGTAAAATCATGTAAAAGTAAAGGACAAGATAGTTTTAAAATGAAATCTTTATCCATATCGCCCATTTTAAAATCAAAGCTAATATAATGTTGAAATTTTTGGATTTACCTTCATCCAGCAAAATCAAAATTTACCACCGTTAATGATTTCAAAAATATCTATAATTAAAACATTATACACCTAATCAAACTTGCATTGGACACTCATTGATTTCAAATATGTTCTAAATAAAAAAAAACAACTTAAAATTGACATCTATTGATATTGAAAGAGATTGCTCTAAAGGTACCAGATATTTTATCTATTCAGCTCTTTTTGAGAGAGAGAGAGAGAGAGATACCTGACATTGTCCTGTATCTGTACCAGTTCACATTCCTGTAGAGGTTTCTTTTGAAACAACTGTATAATTGCTATCTGAATGCTGCAAATAACAAAAAGAACATTGTTAACCAGACAGAGATGCAGGTGTGATATTTTCTGACATAATTAGGTTTTTTTTTAATTTCAGTATTAAGCATGGATTTCTATAATTACAACAGGTACTTCTTAACACAGTTTGAAGCAGATGGATTACTTTTGTTAGTCCTTGAGATTTGAACAGATCTAGATTCGTGACCATACAAACATAAAGCTACTTTTTTAAAATTAGGTTCAGCCAATATGTAGGTTGAAGCTGGTAAAAACCAAGGTGTAACGGCGCACCTTGTTTCCGAAAAAAAAAAAAAAAAAAAAAAAAAAAAAAAAAAAAAACGCTTCCACATTTTTTTTTTTACGATTCCGTAAAAAACCATTGTATTACGATTCCACAAATTAGTTACCTGGAGGCACCCAGGTATTTATTTTTAATATTTGGATTACATTTATATATAAACAATGCAACATGCATGATAAAATATCGCATACTGATATAAATGAATTGGATAATATTCATAAATAAAATAAAGAAGTACAAATATCGCAAATTGATAAAATAACCACGGAAGTGGGTAAATGCCAAGTAAGAAAAATATTTTATCTAATGGCTGTCATAAGTAACATTCTGTAGCACTGCTTAAAAATTTACGTATGAAAGTTAATGTGATAAGCGCATAAAATACCGATTCTAACGTTACTTTCGGTACTTACATATATCTTCTGTTTTTTTTTTAAATTTGGACCAAAAACATATGAACAACATTTCAGTCCTGGCAACCTTATGTTTCGTATATTTTACATATTCTTTACACAGAATGTCAAGTTTGTCTTTGCCACTCTACACTACAGGTAAATTGCGGAAACGTATTGCATAGGTAAAAAAAAAAAACTATATTTTTTAGCCGGGAAACATAACAAAACTTTTTGCGGAAACATAAAAATGAAATAAATCAAATTTTGCGGAAAAGTAATAGAATATCAGAATACACTCTTCAAGAACACTTATGGATATATCCTCTACTGAAGCGACCCCCTTCTGGGAGTATCAACAATACAGACATGTAAATATATCTTTTTAAAGTAAAATTTTATGCATAAATACTTGTAATATCTTCCTTTTTCGGCTTTTGTGTGTACTATATTATGAACACTGTATACAGATTAAAGCTAAATCTTGTTAGGAAAATTTCATTCATGAGCGTAATCAGATATTTATTTACTTGAACTTCACCCCTTGATCTACCTGGTATAAATTTTTGCTCAAATATTCAGGCGTGTTCAGATATCAGATGCAGTATTTGTCTAAATAAATACTTAAACTTTTAGCCTTTTTGTAGATCTGATGACGACGGGTTTTCAACTTATCAACTGATAATTTTTTCTTTTAGTTTCTGTAATAAACCCCTAATGATAAAATTCTAACGATATTTTAATTATTTTTTTAGTTTAAACTTCATTTTTACCTTTCCAAGAATTCATGGCGCGCTGCGCAGTCCAAAGCGTTACCGACCGACATTCGGCATGACGTCATAGAACCTCTTCTTCCACTGGTCAACGACAAACCTTTCCAAGCCTCGGCGATGTCCGCAAGACTGTGCCTAAAAATAATAAGAAATTTCACGATTACGTGTGTTTAGAAGACCAAGATCCAAGCAAAAATGTGTCCAATACAATAAAAAACAGCTACCAACATCTTAAAACTTCTATCCGATCTAAAAATCTAATGAATCCTTTTTTACATACATATATATATATATATAAATCTTAACTAATCTCTCATCAAAATCTAAAATGCATTAAGAAGAAAATGTAAATTTCAGACCTTTTTTCTGGAAAAACTACTTACACCTACTCTTTTGGTAATAATCTCACAGTGACAGCCTGATATGTAACAAATCAGACAGGAACATGTATTGTGATTAATATCTACTGTGTGGGAACAAAGATCATATTTACAAACAAAGCCCTGTAGATCCTAGATAATACATGAGGATGAGGTATTCAAGTGCAATTCAAGTCGGGAACGGAAGTGAACATTCGCAACTCTTCGTAACCGGAAACCACGAATTTGAAATATGTAAGAGAAAGTATGCAACAATGCAAGATTGTTTGTAGGCTCATTATTGAAATATCAATTAACTGAGACAGTTTTAAAGAGATTTATGAGGTATACTGTGACATAAATATATCTACCACTATATCATCTTTTGATGTCATTGTCTCGGGAAAATTTCCGACTTATATGTATGTTTTAATCATTTTAACTCCCGACTTCCTTGTTTTTTTTATAACACCCACGTCGATTTGTCGTCGAATTGGCACAATGTCTCTTGCTGTGGTTTTTATTATAGGCCAAGAACTAAATAATTATTATAGTGCATTGTCTGTTGAGAAGAACATGTACAATTTTCATCAGGTTGTTATGGAAATCATTAAAACGATTCAACCAATAGGCCCTATAATGTTGATCATTAAAAAATTGAATCTTTTATGGGCTTGAAAATTCTTAAATCGTGGTATTATTCGTAGGGGGAGAATTGACACTGTATGGATAATTAATTAATATGTTATATGCGTTGGCAATTATCCTCTCTGGAACCACAGGGTTAACAGGCATTTTTTCCAAATAATATGAAGATGCTCAATTGCGATCCATATCCTTTATTTCAATGTTTTAAGGTAGATCAAGCGTGCTATTAAAATGAAAATGTGTAAAATAAATGATCGGGGTTTTTTTTTTTTTAAACCTTCCATCGATCGAGCCCTGCTCATATAATATGGTTAGGCAGACTAAATATGCCATTTCACCCAGTTAATTCAGCTTCTTAAAAGAACTGTTCTACAAATATCTTAGATGCTAACATGTTTAATACAAGTACCTTTCTTGGGGATATACTGGCAACAAATTTTGGCTTACGGACTTTTGGCCTTGGAAAAGCAAATTTTATGGATCTCTTTTCATCGATTAAAAATATCAAATATGAACTTTTCAGCGGTTTCATAAAATAGTATTCAGAATCATGAATTAAAAAACCAAACCACAATAATTCTATGGAGAGAGATCCAAATGTATTAATTATATGTTAAAAGTGAATCGTGTTTAAATTACTTAGTATATAGATTTACCATGGTCGAGGTACAGGGTGTGTTAATGGGAGGGGGTTTGCTGTATCCATATCTTATTTAGCCATTAATCTTCGGTTTCAATTGACTGAAACAAGACTTTCCTAGCTCTACGTTTTCATATCGTATGAAATACAAAACTTTAACTGCTTGTAACCGACTCTTTCAAGGGTATTGATTAAGGAAACAGGTGCTCCTTTTTAAGCAAGTTACATATAAAAAATACGAAAATCAATTATCTCACGTTGTCCGACCACGTAATTAGACACTGACCACACTATACGGCAGATCAAAATCTGTGAATGATTTATTAATAATAATACAAAGGATAAAAATCAATATTTTTTTCCTTTTATATAAAAATAATTCGTCTCGAATAGTTTATTAGGAAATTTTCAACGATATATATACAATACTTTAAAATCTTCTGGTCTTGCTGGCAAGTAATGAAGTAAGTTGATAAGCGTAACCAGTTGATCACAGAAAACATACTGTAACATTTACAATCTTTGATCAGCTGATTGAAATTTAGAGCAAACATCGCTGACCGTATTCTGTGATTAAAAATGAGCATGTCACTGTCTGACCAAAGTCCACACTTTCGATGAATTTGTTATACAAATATCACATGCTCATGTTCTTAAAGATGTTGATTCAACCATTGTTTCTTCATAATGAATGTATTTGTAAAACGTTGATACAAACCGCAAATTAAGTGTTTATCAGAAACTCCAGACATTGCAGTACAAATATATTTACATTTCATTATACCATGTTTTATATGTATGTTATTTTAACATTTTCTTTATTTTTCTGTATTTTTTTTAATGGATTTTTTTCTTTCTCTCTCCTCAGAAATCTCTTGCATAAATAGTAGGATGCATAGACCCACAATTCTTTTGTGTATCTATTCTGCCTAATCCTTTGATTAAAAATAAAGATAGCAATTTCTTTAACAAGGCGTTACAAATACTGAGGCTTTACATTGTTCAAACCACATATCATGTCCACGACAAAGAATTATGTTTCAACTTAAGAGCTGATTTCCAAAGTTAAAAGCGAGTTAAAACCAAGACATGAACATATATGACACTGATTTCGTGTTTCCCCCCGAGGGTTTTAGACAACAATTGGGTCAAAACTAGTGCAACCGTAAAAATGCCTGGCTATGTTTCTCGACATCAATAGATTATAGGACAAAAGAATCGTATGTTTACATGATGATAAACGAACTAGTAAATTAAAGCTTTTAAGTTTGTTAAGAGGTCATTACGGTACTTCTCAAACCACTTGCAAAAGTCAGCGTGCTATTTCATTGAATAGTTTTGGGAGAGACACGCAAGCAAAAGAAATATCTGTTATCCCTCAGATAACATTTTGGAAAATTGTATAATAATTGCTATTAAGTGTCTATTTATGGTAAAGAAACGTAATTAAATATTGATCCAGACGATATTTCTTCCACACTCAAAAGATGAAAGTACGTAGCAGACGACATCTGACTTACCGCTTCATAGTGCTCCTTGTTCCCCCTATCCCGTTCGTCTGCAACATCGACATTTTGGTTCCCTCTCCTATTGTTTCCTTCATTTTCTCCTCTCTAAAGCAATTACATCCTAAAACGACAGAAAAGGCAGACATTCCATATAAACCATTGTCCCAACTTCACGACGTCCGAGTTCCGGAGATCAGGGCCAACCAAGAACTGAAGAGTGACCGATGTAAAAGGTGGACCCTTAGGTTAGTGACCCGCCGCAGGTAAGAATTACAGGTGATCTAGTTTGGGAACGGTGAAGGTGTTATATAATTGAAATATACATGCAAACTGAAGACTCACCCAAACAGTTGACGTTTTAAGTAGCTTTTCACCTGACGGAAAAATAAATTTATCACTTGGTCGAGTTTGTCGGTCTGCACTTTTTAGCTGGATGTTTCATAGAGATTTATGTAGGAATCAAGTCCTTGTAAACAACTTGATGAAATAGATACGTCCATTGTTTAAAAGTATTGATCAAAATATGAAATCTAATAAAGTCTGCCTCCCAATCCTTACTGAATTAATCGACAGACTTTATATTGCCTGTGAAATATTCCAGATGCATAGCCATGTGAAACAGTAATTAAAACTCTCACCAAAATGCTCCTTAGAAGAAATTCAATATATCCATCTTGAAGAATACCGAGTTAAAACCTCAGCAGAATGAATCAGAAATCAAACTTGTTAATTTTCTCTCAGGTGATGATATAAAATGTCATTAGAGAGTATTTTTCATGCAAAATATTGTCGTCACGGTTTTATTATTTTTTGCGGTTATGACATCCACTTAAGATGAATTTCATTTTCTCAATCATTTTTTTTTCTTTAATCGTTTGACAGAATCAGAATGATGCGTTAATTATTGCTGTGTAAAACTAGCTTTGATTTATCAGAATGAAAAATCATACGTCTATCAATAACTTACTTCAGCTGTCAAGATTACTCAACATGGATTTTATAATGATTCGATTTTTTTCCCGGAATATTAGTACGATGCTTATTTGGGAAAATGAGTTGACATTCTATAAAGATAGCTTTTCAAGGGGCATCGAGTACTAACAGAAAAAAAGTATCAAGCTTAAAATCACTTTGGACATATGAATCTACTGTTCTTTTCAACACAGAAATTTCTGTGATTAAAATCCATGATGTTTATTGTTTTCCCAAACATTCCATAGTTATTTTGGCAGGTTTTTTAATGTTTTAGATCTAGTTTCTTGGAAATCGCGCTTTCATTTTTTACGTATACAAGACATTGTCTATCACTAGCACAATATTCAAAATTTCTATTTATTACCTAAATATTAATTGTAAATTGTGAACAAGGAAGAAGATTTATTGCCTTCAAATTAAAACTAACAAAAAGCTTTAGTTTCTATTTTTAGAACAAAAAAATCAGAAAAAATAGAATATAGTGAAATTTATAGACATAGAATACTATCAATGAAATAAGCAAAAACTCTTACTTTTTCATACGCCATGTGATGCTTTGCATGTGTATGCATGTCCTTTATTATTAGATTTTATCCCTCTTGTATGTTTACTTCCCGCTTCCTCGAGGACTTTCCACAAACTCAGTCACCAACAGAAAAACTACCAAGTAGATAGAATTATAGATGCATGAATATTTAACCACTTAAATCAATATTAACATGTGCGTTAACGTGAGGTTGATATATAGAAATATTGGATCATATTCAAAATATGAGAAACTGACTTTCATAACAGGGAATCGGTTGACCCCGAGCAGTTTCTACGAGAAGATATGTGAGTGTGTCATTGCCTGATATAATTCCATTTATCAAACAAGGATGCGGCAGTACGTAGTATTAACGTTGAGCTCACACATAATTGTACAATTGTACACAGATGTAGCGGACATTTATAATTATGATATGGCTAACTCCAGTGGGCACTATAATAGAGTACAGCGATTCTTAATTGTCCATCTCCTGGTTAATGATAAACACCGTGCCAAGAGCTATAGATGAAGAAAATGGAAAGCTTGTCGATCTGGATCCTCGACGGAACGGATAATAATGCATAAAGTTATATATTAAATGTATTATAACATTCTTTCAATATAATCGAAAATTAATAGAAAAAAAACTTTGCACAGAAAAAACAGGTCAAAATACTATGAAAGCACATGCCAAGTACAATACATATGCATGATTTTCAATATGTCAAAATTATGGAAAATTATTTTCAAACCAGACTTTCTCCATTTTCCCCGCTACCCTATATATAATCTTTGATATACCAGCAATCTATTAGTAGGATTTTTCTAGCATAAAAGCGTTTCCAAATAGAAGTTCAATTTTATAAAAATTCGACGCATTAAATATCTATCACTCATTTACCTTTTAAAATCAGAATTTTGAGACTGAAAGAATTACCTGCATGCGATTACCAGAAAGCAATTTTCTTCTGTGATCTTGGGTGTTATTTGTTGTCTGGTTTTCTCTTCAAATGAAATATTTCCGCTCTTTGACAAGCTTTTTTTTCTAATTAAAATGTGGTTATCCGATGAAAACAGCGCGACAATTTTCCACATTAAATTACGTATCTGGCTGACCAAATTCCGGAGTAGTCTACAATATCTAGTGAACATTTCGCCTTGTTAAAAAGGTAATCTTATCAAGCCTTCATTGATTTTTGTAATTAATGCCTACATATAAATCCTCTAAATCTAAAAATTCCATTTTCTGCTTACCTGCGCTTTATTGATAAGGACCCTCGGTATCATTGCTTGCAGGGTTATATCTTCCCGTCAACCATTCAAAATCTGTACGTTAAAAATAATCGCAAATTGAACGCACAACATGCGTCATTCGAACTGTCAAAAACACTACATAAACATGTTAGTCGATGAGGGGGTCCATGCTGTTATTTGGTGTCAAAAAAAGGTATCATGCCAACGCCGCACAGATACTCAACCCATCTTTAAAATTGAAAATAGTTGTGACAGTCTCTAAATAATATATAGGTCAGTGTGACCTTTCTTAACCTTGTTTCTAGCACAGATGCAACCTTTCTGATAAACTGCATCAAGGTGTATATTGACAAGCTTGAAGTACGAGGGTTGATAAAAAAATATATATTATCACAGCTGCTCTAACTTCTTTAATTATCGAAAGTTTTTAACAAAATATCACATACTAATACCTCTATCTATTTGTACTTTTGGCCTAAAATATGCAATACTTTATAAAAGATTAAAATAACAACTTGAGGTCTCGTCTATCGCCGCACAACAAGGACATCATTATGAAGTTTCTCTTGGACACGTATTTTGGATCTGACGATACACAAGATTTACGTTAAAAGGAATGGATTTGGAGAAAGTTCGAAGAATGTTAATACTACAACTCAAAACAAAAAAAGTTTATAGCAAAACGACCAGTAAAGATTATTAAAAAGAAGCAAATGAGAGGTTAACGACGTGGGTAAATTCTTGCTGTACGGCTATAGACGAAATCCAATGTTGTGTTTATCTCAATATTTATAGAGTATTGCATAAAGCTGGATGAAACTTTAGGACAGTTGTCCAATTAGACAGAAGTAATTGTATATAGAGTTTTATTGATAACATTTGATTATTAAAGACTAAAGCAGCTGTGACATGACTTTTGAATCAACCCTCGTATATAACACCTGTACTTTTTAGTCAGATTGCAAACAATATCACAATGTGCCACGTCCTGTAAATCAAATGTAAACAGTTACGAAATTTGTCCATCATACTCCAGGATTATCTCCTACTACAAGAACCTATTTTGAAAGTTTAGAAAGGTTAAATTAAATTATTAAAATTGATTTTCTTCTGTTGAAAACTGAGTTACATTAAAGTTTAGACTTTGTCAAGTTAAACTTAACTATAACAAGCTGTAAGTTGTCCGTGTATACGAATATGATCTTTTCTCTGGATCTAAGTAAAACATATATATGCACTGGCAGGCGTGATGATATGAGAAATAATTGAAAACTTGTAATTGTTAAACAACGGGGAAAATGTATTCTGTATCCCGTTTAAATGGACTACACAAGAATATAAAACACTATTATAGCAAATCAATTAATACTGTATTCAAATTTCTCAAACACCTCAAAGCCTATTTAATCGTTATTTCATCAAAGAAAAACACTTTCGAAATCCATGATCATTTATTGAATCAATATATAAATGTTGCTAACTATACAATGTACTATGTTTAAGGATTTGATAGAACTGATTGAGTTCATATAATCATATTTCCTTCACACTAATTTTTTGCGAGGACGGACGAAACACAAAAGGAGGTTGTTGTCAACCAGACTTATCTTCCTGTCTTAAAATTAAAGTTTTTCAATTACCAGTTAAAACGATCAACAAAATCATAGTCGTGAAGAGAAAATGATTTATAAAACAATGTTTGACTAGTTTGGCCTTCATTAACTACTGCTAAATTGCCTGTCAAGTGGAGGTCTCCGAGCCAGTTTTCGAAAAGTTGCAATCACGTGTTTCCTGAAAGTGAGGTCAAAATACCCGTATATAAAAGGGTTCAGCACATGATTGATCACAAATAATCTGTGTACAGTTAAATGAATGTTTAACACGAGTAGGTCATGATTGAACCAGAATTCGACATCACTTTCGTTTAGGAAAAGATATACCATGGATGGCACAAACGACACAGTATTACAGATGAAAATTGTCAAAAACATGACGTAAAAATTTAGTCTGTATTGTCTGTAGGTCCCCTGGTTAGATCGTGGTAGATCTACGACTTGAGTCGTAGATTCTAAATCTTTTCTTGAATTCGAAGTACTGCTGCTATCGTTATTAGCTGAAGTCACTGTAGCAAGTATTGAAAATACGGAATTGTTGCGGTCCTGATTTATGTTGTGGTGGACTAATCGTGGACTTGGAGGGACTGAACCTTTTCTCCTCTTTCGAAGCCTTTCGAATACCACCTTACCAACAGCTACGTAAAGTACGGCTGTTAGAATTATAATGAGGGAGATGATTCCAAACATGCACCCAAAATAAATAGTTTCCCCGAGAGTCTGTTGGGGATTGTGGGGAGCACAAGTTATTCCTATAACTGTTTCATTTTTATACGTGAAGGTAATGTATTGCAGTTCCACAAAGAACACCATGGGTGTAAGAATTAAAGAAACAATACTGAACATAATCGCCATGAAGATACGTTTGTGATGTATAGTCATCTGTCTTTTGTGAGGTCTACAAAGTTTTAGGTATCTGTTAATGGCAACGATAAATAAAAGGGAAACTGAAATTCCACTGGTTAAACAGGTCGCATACCACATGGTCTTACAGACGATCGCTGAAGGAAATGTGACAGAGTACAGATTCTCTAACAGTGAGAAGGTAGGTCCTATCACACAGGCTGCAAAGTCCACCATTGCAAGGAAAGGAATGAAATAGCGCTCTATGTTCCAATGGGATAGTCTTGAAAGGTAGACGTAGAGAACAATAGAGTTACCAATTACACCAAAAAACATCAGTAACAACATTATGATTGTGTTCGGAAGTCTATCAAGAAATATGTGAGAGTTGAATTCTAATAATATCGACTCCTTGTTGGTCGTGTTCGATTGAGTGGTATTAGTGCCGTGGCCACTTTGGTCGTGATTCTGATAGAACATGGCATCCATTGCCATTTCAAAACTCATGATCATCAATATCTTCTGTACAGACAAAATCTTTCAAATCAAAAATATAACTGTGAAAATAAATAATCAGAAATGTATTTTTCAAGAGGTTCCATTTTTCTTTCATTTGAAGGTCACAGCGTTAAGGTAAACATCGAAAGGATGTCCTTGATAACTTCCGTAATGTTATTCAGATGTACATCTTTTGAACTCTTTTATCATTTCATCGTCACAAATATTCACAATCACAAATCGCTGGCAAAACGTGCGAAAAATACAGACAAGGAACAATGAGAAAAGAAAACGTACACCAAACCAACCGAGACAAATTTGATGGCGATAAGTGTAGGTGTATCCAACTCGGAGTCTCTTTACGACAATGTCAGAAACTTAAAAATCAGTCAAAGGGTCATATTTATCATAAACAGCCACCTGACCAGTGACTGTGAATTGTTTGTTGTTGCCAGACTCCAGCTAAGTGAGTATAAACAGACGGACATGTTTGTTGCGTCATGCTGTGTTCTGTTATTATTGTATATCCGTATAGAATACACAACCGGTCATCATCAGAAATGTTTGTATGATAGCATTAAGTCATAGCATTCTACTGGTTATTTAGACTTACTTCATAAAAATCATTACCACGGATGTTAAAACAATGAACTGCATTTGCTGTTAAGTGATGCATTTATGTATTGTTGATGTACTTTTAGTGTGTACTTGCATTCTATCTTTCTCCTTACATCCGAGCTTTCACATTAATGCAAATTTTGTTTCTTTGTTTTGTGCTTTTATTGTAAGATCAAAACATAATTCAGTATGTTATGTTTATTAATAAAAAAAAATTGCTCAACTGACAGATATATTAGTTATATTAAATTTACATAAAATGATATTTTATCGCTGACTTTTTTCTCTTTTACAAATATTTTCCATATTCACTTAACTTCCGTACTATATTAGTAGACTTATATTGTATACACGAAGTTCAACAAAACTTTTAAAAAATGAATAAAATTATTTGAAAATTTCAATTTTTTGTTTTAAAGTTTAATAAATTCAAGGAATGATACTTCTAGAAAAAGCAGGTCCCTTAAAAATGAACTGGTTAAATTTACGATTATAGATTAGACATTAAAAATACAATGAGGCGTGCTTTGTTGTTGAAAGAATGTTAACAAAAATGGTAACTTTTTGCAACGCAAGATGCTATTCAAGTCGGACTTTGTGTATACAAATTTAGAAAATTATTTGAAGGTGTTGTTTGAAAATGTACTCACGCATTATCTAAAAGCGTAATACGTATTTATAGAAATAACAGAAATAACAATCATATTTACTTCTTAGCAAGGAAACAAAAACAATTAAACCAGCAAGAAATACATGTGGTACGGAATTTGCTTATGTGGTATATGCTAATCTATCTAGTTATATATACATTATTTGTTACATACATTGTTCATTGATTTATAGATAATAAACAACATAAGACATTGTTGGACGGTGAGCTATAACAATTATTAACAGTTATCTCAGGGGTAAGGCGCAGTAGTATGATACACTTCGGTTCAAAAAATGGAATATATTTTAAGGCCGGTACACACAGTAAGTCTTGCCTTATAAGTCTAAAACCTTATGTTTTTGCAGTCCGAACAACTCTCATGTCCACAAGCTAAGGCAAGACTTACAACATTCATAAACCGTGCATTCAGTCATTAAAATAGAAGATAAGATTACCAGGGCTTTGTAATGATTTTACCGACCAGTGCATTCACACTTCTTAAAAAGAGGAAGAGATTGAACAGAGGCATTCATTATCTCATTAAAAAAAAAAAAAAAAAAAAAAAAAAAAAAAAAAAAAAAAAAAACTTTGTGTTCATTTCGATCTACCCACGTGTATGGTTTGATATAAAATAGATTGTTCCAAAATAGACTTGGGCGAATGGTTTTCATTGGTTGAGAAGAAAAGGTCAGCTAAGTCTTGTATTAAGAAACAGAGCAGTACTCTATTTGTAAGTCAGACTTGAAAGGCTCGAAAAAAACAACATGTAGTAAGGGTGTACACACGGTAAGGCTAGAACCTTAGTTCCATAACTTATAAATAAGGCAAGTTTTACCGTGTGTACCGACCCTTAAATACATTAGAAATGAGGAATTTTGAGTAGATAAACAATCAATACCTAAAATCTCTCCCTATTTCTAACATAATTGAGACAAGAAGAGAAAAAGCAACTTGTCCATCCATTCTTATTCCGTGCATGCCAGATTGTTCAACGATCTACTCGAAGTATATTGTATACTAGTATTTAGAGGCCGGTACACACGGTAAGGTTGACTTATAAGTCTCAAACCTTAGATTTTTGCAAACCGTTCGGCTTTCATGTCCACACGCAAAGGCAAGTCTTACAAGATTATATTGGTAAACAGCATTTTCATATTTTCAACCTAAAACAGTGTATTCAGTATATTCATATTAGAAGACGATGTTACATTTACTAGGGCGCTGCAGTAATTTTATTGACCACTGCAGTCACTTTTTTTTGGATACATTCATTATCTCATTCAAAAAAAACTTTATGTTCATATCAGTGTACCGACGTTTTGACCAAATGATCTTTGGTCAAATATAAAGGCATCTTTTTTGTCTTCTTTGTTGAAAGGTATTCATTTTATTTGTGGTTCATAATCTCTGCTGATGAAATATGGAGATAACGAACAATAATCAAACTCAAAAGTCCATTTTAACAATATAAATCGGGAACAGAGCCAACACGGACCTCTAAAAGCATCAAAGGTGGGATCAGGTGCAATGGAGGAGTAAGCATCCCTTGTCGACCAGTCACACACGCCGTGTGCTCCTTGTCATGATCAGGTAAAGGGAAAAATCCACAGACAATGCAGTGTGTAAATAATGGCCTAACAATGAGTATGAAAAACGTCAATCAGCATTCGACTTAATGGTAGACTGTATTTGCTGACAAAGTCATTGTATCGACCATAGAACTTGCGAAATGTTGACTTTAAACGAGACTGTTGATATCCTTGTTTCATCAACTTGTTTGTCAATAGCTTGCCTCGTTTTAGAAATTGTTCGTACGTAGAGCATGCTCTTACATATCGAATCAACTACATAACCTCCATATGCAGGTGATAAGGGAACTATATTGCTACATAAATAAGGGAAGTTGACGTAGGAACAGTTGAAGCCGTCACGTTTATCATAAAGTTTTGTTTTTAGGCTACCACTAACGTCTTTTTCTAGGAAAATATTAAAATATGAAACATATTTGAATTAGAAAAATTTATGTTAAATTAAATTTGACACTGTTCTTTGACGGAATGATCTAATATTGGGAAAAGTGATGATAACGAACAGTGATCGATCTAAAAAGCCATAACAAGACTAATCTGTGAACAGGACATAAAACACAGACCTCTGGAAATTCCTAGTTTGGGATCAGGTGCCCAATGTAGAGAGGCTTATGTATTGATCAGGTAGGCGGAGTAATCTCTAGTCAAATTTAGTACAAAAACAAAGGCCTAACACATTGTTATAAAATATGTCAGTCAAAATACGACCAATGATAGGTTCTACTTCCTAACAAGGCCATTATAACGACCATAGATATAATGAAATGCTGACTTTAAACGAGGTTGAAATTCCCATATCATAAACTTATTTGTCAGTAGCCTGCCTCGGTTTAAAAATTGACAATACTCAGAGATACTCTTGAGTATCGAATAAGTTGGGAGACATAAACACCAGGTGATAGTGGAATATTACTACATGTACATAAATAAGGAAAGTCGACGATAGAAAAGCTGAAGTCAGCTCGTTTGTCATACAGTTTATTTGTTAGTTGGCCCTTATCGTCTATTGTCAGTAAAACATCCAAATATGAAACAGATGTGGCAGACTTTGTTGTAACTCTTATTTCGAGTTCATTGGGATACATGTATATCGAGTCGACATATGAATGGAAAGAACTACATTTGTATATTGTTAATTGAGGAAACATCGTCGATATATCTGATTGTCGAGTTATAGGCCACAGCAATTTTTTTTCCCACGTAGTAGTGAATGTCTGAATAAATATCTTGAAATGTATATTTGTCTTCCTCAACCATTGTCCACATGCATAGAAAATGCTTTTTAGGCCGAATAAAACCTTAGCTTTGTTACTGCATCACTTTAAATATGTAGTAACAATATCAATTTTTTTTATCTTTGTTTAGGAGGCAAAAACATCAACAGATGTCTTTTTCAAATTATTATTTATTCATGTAGTGATATATTTATTAATATGAATGATATAGATAAAAATTTGTAAGGCCAGTGCCCGTTAATCCACAGACCTTATACATGTATATATGAACTATCTTGGTTAGAGGAGGGCACCTATAGTTTATGTAGTCACTTCGATAGAGGCTACATTTGTCACGTTTAGGTTTAAAGTTCATCAAGTATAACAAGATTGCTATAGATAAATTAAATTCATAAATTTTAAATGTAGCAAATAAATGTCAAACTTCAAAATAATTTATAACCCTGTTATGATATAAGAAAGTGGGTATTTGATATTTCCTTCTTCTTCTTTTTTTTTTTTTTTGGAGGGGGGGGGCTGTTTTTAGGTTCACATGGTAAAATAAGAGTAAATTTGTATTTGTGATGAGGTATTTTTTTTCTTTTATTCTGGCATTGAATTTCTGTATAGATATAAAGGTATAAATTTGGAGAGAATAAAAATAAGGGAAATTTTACAATAGATGTGTGTTTTAGCAATAAATAAGCCTCCAAAAACTATATACAGCGTTTTATAATATATTTCTTGAATATCTTATATCCTAAACAGGGGGTTTTCAGACAGACAAAATATTAAGTTTAGGCAAATGTGCTTGATGCAGGGCAATGATAAAAAAAAACCGTCATAAAGTAATGCATATACAACTGTCGGCATGTTCTATAACGACGTACTCTATAATCTGATTCATTAATTATATCAGTGGGT